GGTACAACTTTATGTTGAAAAGGTCCAGAAGGCCTAGCACAATGGACCAAAAACGACACATATTAAGGTACACCTCTTTCAAATTTTAAAATACTAAGGATAAACAGAAAATTCTAAAACGTACTAGAAAGAGAAAAAGATCAGAATAAGAATAATAATCAGACCAAGAATAATACTGGTCTTCACAACAAAACTGGAAGCTGGAGGACAATAACAATACCTTCATAATTCTGAAAGAAATGTTTTCCAACTCAGAATTCTATATCCAGCCCAATTATAAATCAAAAGTGAGAAGAGATCAATAGATTTTCAGGAATTTGGAATCACAGAAAAAATTGGACAGCTTTACAGGAAACTTCTGAAGGATGTGCTTCATCAACGTAGGAGTAAAGCAAGAAGGACAAAAGTTCTAATAAAATTAAAAAGCATAGGAAATTCCTAAAATGATAGCAAAGACAGGTACCAGGCACTGGGGGAAACAAGTCCAGTTTGGAGCAGGATGGAATACTGAGGGTGTGGGGAGAAAGGATAAATCATTGATAGGTGCTATTTGGGAAACTAGTGCAGTGTTTCCAGATAGCATGAAATGACTTGGTCAAATGTACAAAGAAACTAAAGCAATGAGGTATGATCATTTGCTATAGGGGAAAAAAAGGGAATCATAATAAAAACATAATTATTACTCCGTTCAGCAGTAACAAAGCTTTACAGTTACAACAATGAAAAGACAGAGTGTAGACTAACAAAAAAACTACATAGGGTGCCAAAAAAATGTATATACATTTTAAGAAATGAGAACTGTATTAAAATTGTAACACTCAATATATACCAATAACAAAAGATGAATACAAGTCACGTTTGACATCTGCAATTATAAGAGGTGCTCAGACTGGTTACCATCAGCGTCCAGACAATTCTGGTTACAGCGAACTACTGCTTGAGCAATGCTGACCAAAGTGTTAACATCTCTTAAAACGTGTATACATTTTTTGGCACCCCCGGTATATTGGATGATGAGGGAAAAGGTCATAAAAGTACTAATGTTTCTTCTACCATAATAAGACAAATGATTTATACACTTGAAACTAATATAATATGTCAATTATATCTCAATTTAAAAAACACAAATGTTTAAAATTTGCATTTGCATATATGTGTATTATTCAAAAATATGGAAGAATATACTGGGGAAAAAGCCAGGAGATTAAAGAGATTTGACTAATATATATCATTTTAAAACTTTATAGCACTATGTAACTTTTTAAAAAGAATGTATATGTGTTACTTTGAAATAAACTGTTGTTTAAAAAAACAAAAAAATTCAATAAAATATTTTTTTGGATTGGAAATACAATAGTACAATTCATGCCTTAGAAGTTTATTTCTATTGAGAGAAACAGACAACAAACAAGTACGCAAATAAATTTAAGATTACAAGTAGAGAAAAATGTTACTCCAAAAAAATAGAGAATGACAGTTGGGTGTGAGAAGAGTGGTCAGGGATGGCCTCTCTGAGCAGTGACATTTAATCAGAAACCTGAAACATCTGAAGTAATGGACAGAGTATTCCAAGAAAACGGGGAGCATATAGGTGGTAAGTTTAAGTGTGCTATGTTAAGCCCAGAATTAAGAGCAGAGTAAGCTAAAGACAGAAATGTAAGACACCACATCTCAGCAGTCAGAAGTAAAGAAAAACAAAAGATGGTGGGCCAGCCGAGTGGCGCAATGGTTAAGAACTGGCTTGGGATGCCAGAGGGCCCCGGTTCGGATCCCACATATGAGGGCCAGTGACACTGCCCTCTACAGCTAAGATGCTGAACAACAGCTCAACCTGGAGCTGGGCTGCCGTGAGTCGCCGGTGATGGCTTAGGCTGCAGCCCCTGTGGCAGTGGGTTGCCATGGGCCAGCGTGAGCGGCCAGCAGCCACAGTGAGCGGCCATCAGGAAGCCGGTGACTGATCTGCCTCGCCCGGGAAGAGCGCAATGATGGTGCCAACTTGGGCCAGTGAAGCAACGTCCTCCACAACTAGACTGAAGAACAAAACGACAGCAACTTGTCTATTCCCCTTCCCCCAATTCCCCAGCACTGTTCCCACCCCCTCAATTCCCCAATAAAATTCTTTAAAAAAAAAAAACCCCAAAAAACAAAAGATGGCTATCAGTGCACAAAATGAAATTCACAGATAAGAAATGATTAGATAATTAAATTAAAATGTCATTGTTTTTTGGTTCTGAAAATTAAGTACTATTAAAACCATATTCCATTCACCCTTAATTCTGGGTAAAACAAGAAATAACTGGTGACCATGTGTATAGTGGCAACACAGATAGAAAAAGACCAAAGTCAACAGAAAGTTAAAAAAGAAATGCTCAACTTCTGAGGTGAGTGTAAAGATATCACAGACACGTGAATATATTTTATACAAACACATACACAATCATATAGATACATAAAATCCAGTTTCCAAAGATATTCAGATTTTGAAATTATTTCCTTCACTGATAAGTGTCAAAAGTAATCAGTCTTGCAGCTTAAAATTCAGTGATACACAATTGAGAGATTATGTACTTTGTAATAGCTTTACTTAGACAATACACACTTCAGTATACTTAGACCCCAAAGGTAACAAATTTATGAGAAGATCCTTGTTGCTCTAAAATGCTACAGGGAAAAAAAAAAAAAAAGATGGGAGTGAAGCAAATATTGGAAGAAAGATAAGGGAAAGGAATATTTAAGGTGAGATTAAGTAGTTCTCAACTCCGCCGGCACATTTGAATCATCACAGGGCTGGTGCACAGGCCACCCCACCCCATTCTGATTTAACTGGTCTGAGGTGGCGCCTTGGGCATATTATTCTAATATGCAACCAAGCCTGAGTGACTTGAGTATCTCTGGATTAGATGTGTTATAGTAGTGAAAATGGAACATGCTGAGGCTGTCAGTTAATTTTGCTGATATAGAAAGGAAAAGTACAGAACTAAAGTATCAATCCTTTATTTTAAAAATAACATACAGTGACCAAACTCTTCAAGGGCTCCCATGGCTTATTCTGTACAGTTTAAAGTCTTAGTCAACATACAGGGCCCTCTGTGATCTGATTCCCCTGGCTACCTCTCCAACCTCATCTCCTCTAACTCCCCCACAAGCAAACTAAAGTACAGCCAAACTAAACTATTTTCATCTTCCTTCAATGTACCAGACTATTTCATTCCTCTCCTATTTGTATATTATTAGTCCTTCTGCCTAGAATAACAAGGCCCTTCTACTCAGTCTGCCTACCTAGCATGCCTTGTAAACTCTTATTTATCATTAAAGTCCAAGTGTACTTTTTTCTGTAAAGTCTGCCAGGGACCACATGACAAAAATTAATCATTTCTTTTTTTGCCGCCATCACCACACATTTATACATATGTTAAATAATTAACCACATTGCATTTTTTTTCTAAGACTTTCCTTCATTGACTGATCTTTGAGCACTCTGAGAGCAAGTAACTTTGCATCTTCTGTTTGTTTTTAAATCTTTCTATCTTCTATGCCTAACTCTGAAGACTGGTTTATGGCCGATGACAGTTGCATGAATAAATGAGACAAATGACAGAACAAAAACTACTAGTTCTAAATTTTCAACACGAAAGTGGAAGGGAAAAAAATCTAAATAGTGATGAGGATTTAGGAGAACTGAACAATTATGTGACAAAAGCAGCCATGACTGTCTTTCATCATCTCCTGAATTTTCCCTTTATATCCTCCATTCCCTTCTAGTTTGATTCAGGAAGAAAACTCAAAAAACATGATAAAGAACAGTAATAAAATAGGGAGGGGAGAAAAGGGTATGGACAGGTTAACGGGGAGAACCAAAGGTTTTGGTAATGTTTTATTTCTTAAACTAGCAGGTGGTTACTGTATTAATCTTTACACTTTTTAGCATGTCTTAAAATGTGTATGCATATACCTATATTTATAACCTTGAAAAGACTATTTTAGTGTTCTAAACAATCTACTGAACAAGTGAACTAAAATCATTTCATTCTCTTCACTTCTTAAATCCAGAAAAAAAGATACATTAGCAGTAACAAATTGGTATCATCGCAAACACTGTTTTTTTTTTATTATGCTCAGGTATTAAACACAAAAATGAAATTAGCTGAATTTTAAAACTGGTTTCAACTACTAAGCAAACAATCTGTTGGAAGAATGCCTAAAACTTGACCTATTGTCGCCCCTTTTTTGTCTGGGGATATTCTCTTCAAAACACATTACATCTAGTTCTCTCTGACTCAGAACAGGTTGTACAACCTCTCGGCCCTTTGCATTCGCAACTTCTAGATGGTCTCGTAACCAGGTCTAGATGAATTATGGACGCGCAAGATCCTACCTGGAACCAGAAGTCTTTCGTCTTCTAACAGCTAAAGAAAGAATAAAGGGTTTCTAACAACTAAGACAGGAATAAAGGGTTTAGGATGAAGATTTCCAGAAACCCACGTATTTCAACAGGATGACTCGTTCGCGAGTCCTAGAGAGCAGGCAAAATCAGCGAGAAGGTGAAGGCGCAGACGCTTAAAGAGCAGGTCGAAAAACAAAGCAGCGCTAGTTTAAAAACAAAACAAAACAAAAAGTTGATGGGTTTCCAGGTCGGACACTTATCCTGGGGCAAGACTTAAGATGCTCAATTAGAAATATCGAAGGCCCTCAAAAACGCCTCCAGGTAAGATGAAGCGCGCTCCGATTAGCGTCGCTAAAACGCAAACGTTCTGAGTTAGGATCCTGGAACAACAAACGCTTCCTCTTCTGACTCCCCGTTTCTCCCACCCATCGGGTCTCCTGCACCCTCTCCTGGCCTAAAATTCTGACTTTCTACCCGCCCCCTAGACGAAGTCACTTCTCTGCGTCTCCGAACATCTGTGTCCACAGCCAGCCCTGCCTCCAGCGGTCCGTCCCCTTCGGCGGGCAGACCCTTTCCCCCCCGGGTCCGAGCCGCCCCGTAGCTCCATCCTTCTCACCTTGGTTAGAGAAGAGGCTCCACAGTTTAGCGAAGATCAGCCCCATCATGAGCACCTGTGCGGGCCACGGGGTCCCTCAGCAGCAGGTGCTGCTGCGCCGGGGCCCCCACCGCGGCGCGGGCTGTGGGGAACCAAGGAGAAGCCGACTGAGACTGCGCGGCGAGGGCACTGGTTGGTTGGCCGAGAAGCCTCGATTGGCCGTGCAGCTACCGGTCCGAAAGCGCCGCGCCGAGTCTCGATCGCAGAGTCCTTTGTTTCGAGCCCACTGAGCCTAACGCCGACCCGTAGTCCCCTCGGTCTGAACCCACCTTCCCACCAGAGCCGCAGGCAGCCCAAAGCCCCGCCTCCGCTCCGCTCCGCCTCCCCGGCGGATCCCAGGACCACCCATCGCCGGAAAGACGGCACCTGACGTCGGCGCGCCTACGTCCACCCACGCCTTCGACGTGGCGCTTCCGGTTTCGCTTCCGCTGTGCGGGCTCCAATTGGCTTGTCTGGGGAGTGTGCGTGGGAGTCGGGGACTTTCCCTGGGTGAACGCGTCCTCTGTGTCACTGTTCAGAAGCGTTTGCCATGTTTCCTTTCTGGAGTCTGTGGCAGGTGCGTCCCTGGCCTCTAAACCTGGGGGCAGACTGCTGTTTCTCGGAACTGCCACCTTGTGCTGCACATTAGTGAGGGGTGTTTCACTCTCCACTGACCTCTTCCTGTCACCCTGTGCTGGCAGGCAGTCTTGGGGTTCTGCCGTGATAGCTGATTCTGAATGGAAGTGATTGAGAGACAACCCATGGCATTCCTGTAGCCACAGAGTTCAGTTCTGTGATTAACTTGAGGATTCCCAACTTTGCCACGTATCCAGGATTTTCGTTGATCCCAATCTACAAAATAAGAAAGTAACTTATTTTCTGAAGTGTTAATTGGAAATAACTTCCTTTAATTAAAATGGAATCCCAGTAATACAACAAAATAGGAAAGAAAAGAAAAAGCTACAAGTGCTGTACTTGGAGCAAAACAAGCTGGAATCTCAAGGGGAAAAAAAAGTCGAACTAGAGAATTAAATATATAAGTATCTATGTAATGTAATTCAGAAGGAACTATAAGCTAACCAGACAATAATACTTGGAAGAACTGGCTGCAGCTGAAATTGAATCCAGTGTACCACTCGTTTCGTTAAGTCTGCCTGTATTTAAGACAATTTGCTTAAATAGAAGTGTTTCAGTTCCATTTTCTTTTTCATGTTTAGGTTCTAACATTTAGCTTCACAGCCAGGGATGGCACGTAACTAATTCTCCTGAAACCAGTTGAAGGAGCGAACTTAATAGAAAAAGACTGTGAACTTCAGTCAGGTGGTAGATTTTAACCCTGGCACACACGCCAAACTACAAGCTTACCTCGTTTTATTGCACTTTGCTTCATTGCTCTTTGCAGTTATTGCAGTGTTTTACAAGACCCTCCACCAGCAAAAGAGACTGACTTGATGAATGGTTAGCATCTCTTAGCAGTAAAGTATTCTGTAATTAATGTATGTCCATTGTTTTTTAAGACAATGCTATTGCACACTAGCTAGACTATAATATAAACATTACTTTTATAGCACTTGTAAACCAAAATATTCATGACTTGCTTTATTGCGCTATTAATTTTATTGTAGTGGTCTGGAACCAAACCTGCAATACCTCTGAGGTATATTTTGTTACCTGTACAGAGAGCAGTATATGACTTATGATGTCCTCCCAGTGTTATGTTTCAGAGTTTCTAAGCCTTGTAAGTGGGATAATGTGTGTCCGACTTTCTGATATTAAAGGCAAGTTTTAACCTCCCATATAGACGAAAAGGTATGTACGGAGCCTATGCAAATTTGTTGAACTTTCATGACAATGAATTGACCTATAAATGTAAACGATTTTGTGTTTGTGTAAATAGTGGCATAAAGGAACATTTCTAGTCCTAGTTTTATTAAACAACACACTTTAGATTCTGTAACTTAGCTTCATTGTTACACATGGATATAAACCACGTTCTTCTTTTTTCTTCCAAAAATCTAACAAAAAGTATCTGAAAAAAGGAGTTTTTCTAGAGTTTTGAAGCAAAAAACTATTTCTTAAACGTTTTTATGGTGGCCTAATGAATGATACTTTAGAGACAGTAAATTTGAATTCTTCTTTCACTTTAAGTGAAATGAATATATTTGAGCAGTGCTGTTGATATTTTTATTGGTTCTACCCTTGAAATGTCTGAAACTTATGTTGAGCAACTGTTCCAATTTACTCTTGTCTACAAACAATATACCTGACAGCAAGACTGCTGTACTAGTTTTAAAATATTTTTTCACATTAAAAATTTTTATTTGCAGATTTGGACATTTGAAGTTTTTACTAACAGGAAAGAAAACTAGTCATAACTGAAAAATGACTGTGATTGATCAACAGAATATAGTTGTGGATTATCTAAACAGAAATCATGCTGATATACCATAAATATTAATCTGTTAGAAAAAATACAGTTTAGTTCATATTACACATTTGTATTTATATAAATGGTAGTAGGAATATCTCAAAATTTAATCAAACTAAAGAATTTTGAGTAAATGTACCTTTTTTATATGTAGCACTTATAACAGTTTTGTAATTTTTTTCCTTAAAACATCATTTAAAAAACTTTTAAAAGCTAATTTCAATGTAGACCTTGATCCAGAGACGGCAACACTGTTCTATGGAATGTTACTATTTGAATATAAGTATATCTTGCATTCATGAAAAAGGAACATGGTAATGCAATCATTAGGGTTATAACTTATTTTCTGAAGTGTTAATTGGATATAACTTTCTGTAATTAAAATAGAATGCCAATAATCTTTCTTTCCAGTTCAACAAATTTTAAGAAAAGATACAAATGCTATACTTAGAGCAAAACAAAGAAATTGAAATGTCAAGGAAATAAATTTTGAACAACTAGAGAATTTTTTTAAAAGTCTGATATTCTATCTAATATTCCTAAAAAGGAAATATTACAAATTAACTAACTTCAGATATTGCTTGGAATAACAGGCTATAGCTGGGATTGAATTCAATTTATTTATTACTCAGTTAACTAAGATAAATTGTGACCATGACTTGAACTAAAAGTCTAGAGACAGCATGTTCTCCAACAAGGAATGAAACTCAAAAAAATAAAAATTCCTCTAAACCTTTAAGATAATGTCTACTATGACTTTAGCATACTTGGTCAGTCTCCAGATCAGTTGAGATTGATAGATTTCCAGCCTTTCTAGACATTTTTCCCTAATCCCCTCATGCCTTTCTCATGAAATTAAATATTGCGGAATAGTTTTTTTTTGTTTGTCGGTTTTTTGTTTTTTGGGTTTTTTTTTTTGGTAAAGTTAAGATTTGGAGCACTACAAACATTTAAGACTATATAGATTATATCTAAGATTTGTTTAACCTCCCCGCATTGGGGGCTATATCACCCCATTGAGAACACACAGCCTAAATTACCCTTATATGGGTATATCCCTATAGGGGTCTTCCTTTGTTTAGACAATATGTATTCATCATGCCAACTTGAAGTTTGTAATATGCTTTTCTTGGACCCAACCTTAGAACACTAGGAGCCCTCTTCATCAGCATAACTGTCACCACAATAATGTCTAGCCAAGGATAGTCTTAAGTGTCCTCAGTACTGTTCATATATACTAAACTAGTGAATTTCCAGCAAATATATGCTTTGTCAGTATTTTCTTTCCCTAGTTCATATAGATGTCCAGTCATCTAGTCATTCAGTACTTGAGTGCCTATTATGAGCTAGGCACTGGAAATGAAGTAGCGAGACAAAGGCTTTGACCTCTCTTGAGTTTACAACCTAGTTCGATTTGTTCCTCCCTCTCCCTATCTCAATACAGATTCCAATCAGTTTTGGTGCTATGGTCACCACAGTGTTGAGGCTGCAAAAACTCCTTTGGAAATGCCTGGTCTAGGCATTTTCCTAATTACATTCAGATGATTTAAACATGGAAGAATCCCAAGAACTTACTGAAGAAGTATGCCGTGGTGGAAAGAGCAGGTATTGGCTTTAGAGCCAGGTGGCTATGGTCTTCATCCTGACTTTCTCACTAATTGTGAGGCCATGGAGAGTTATTTCAGCTTTGGGAGCCTTGTTTTACTCATGTGTAAAAGATAATTATAACCATCTTGCAGGGTTGTGTGGCCTAATGGCTATAAGTTATAAAATATTTTCTACAGAACCTATCTGGTGTATCATAGAAAGTAGCGATTATACTTTTAAAATATGTTCGTGTGAGATTAAAAGAGAGAGAAGAAAAAAACATTTCTAAAGTTACGTGTTAATGACTATGATGTACTGCAGAAAACACTAAGTCAAAGTGACAAGAATTATTTTTAGTTTCCTCTTCCATCATAAAACGGCTCTGACTCTCGTTAGGCACTTTCTCCCTTTCAATCTTTTGCCTCTCTGTAACACAAAAAGATTATGTCAAAAGTCTCCAGAGTTTTAAAGTCTAAATCAACTACAATACAGGTCTCTATTAGCCTTATTCAACTAATTGTAAATACTATCTATGGGTTTTTAAGTTTTACCTGAGCACTCATGGATATTAACACACCATTAGCCCAGCTTTTCGAAAGTTTGAATAATGTAGATTCACAACTGAAGTCAGATCTGTATGCCTGAGAAAAGTAATTTCATGAAATCAAAGAGTGGCTGATAGATCCAAATAAACTTCGGCTTCATCCTTTCTTTTGGACGTCGTTTAGCAGGTAATTGGACCCCTCTCCTTAATTCAGGCCAGCAAAGTCTTCGACTCAATCCACACCATTTCCCCATCTCTCCTGGTCCCCAGCCCTCCCCGCCCAGGTGCTCGGTCTGTTTGCTCACCTGGGCTGCCACCCCTCCCTCTGGAACCCCCACGCCCTCCGCAGTCGGAGGCGCCACCAGTGGAAATCGGAAAACCCGGAGGCGTGACGTAGCGGCAATTTGCGGCTGCGGATTGGTCGGCGGGGGGGCAGGGGAGCCGCGTCGCCGGAAGTGACGCAGATCTGGACGCGCTTTCCGCGGAGAAATTGGGGCGCGGTTTTGGAAATTAGGTATTAAGGTTGAGTGAGGTTGAGTCGTACCACAGTGGTTTCCGGATCTCTGTCGAGTTCACGAAGAATTTGCTCGTCTCCCCTTTTCGCTGTTCTTCTCTGTAACGGGAGCAGCATTGCCTCGCAGTGACTTCCGTGAGCGTCCCGACACGAGGAACGAGGAAGGGTGTGGTGGAGGCGAGGAAGCCGCTCTCTACCGGCTGCACCCGGGAGAGCGGGGATGCCCCTCCGCGTCTCTGGATTCAGCTCGGCGTGAGCGGCGCTATTTTCCTGGGCATCTATCTCATGGTCCCGGCACGTTGGGTGGTTTTCGTGGTCAAGACGCTGCTCACTGTCATTCGGAAAGAGGGAAAACACCGTGTTCCGTCATTTCTCTTGGAGAACTAAGCAATAAGAAAAATGCCTGTTTTCCCTAAAATATCTTTGAGACCTGAGGTTGCAAACTACCTTAAAGAGGGCTTTATGAATAAGGAGGTAGGTCAGATGAACATGTGAACTATTTGTAAACACATATTTGCACACTCTAGAGAAATAGAAAAAAGTGTAAAAGGAAACCTAATAGTTACAGCCATTGTTTCTTATTAGTCTTTCCAAATGGGGAAGACAAAACCAAAAAAACTGCAGTATCTTTCCGCAGGTATTTAATTAATGCTTTCCAAGAGAAGGGGTAAACGAGCTACGTTTTAACACTTAGGAATGGGAAAGAAGGGGGGAGGGGGAAGGTGTTATGTGTCTGGCAATGGTTTACAAGGGTGAGCATGAAAAGGCCCCAGTCATGATGAGTTTGTCCTGCATTGAAGATAACACCTGTATTCCTAAGAGCGCTGGCTCTGGCGCTCAGGTGGAAGAGATGCTAGAATTCGTTGATTGCCTCTTAAATGCCACCAGTTGTGCTAGATGATTTGCAGACCTTTACATCTTACTCATCGCGATCTTTTTTGGTACAGATTTTCTCCCCACTTTAATAGGTGAGAGAATTGAGGGTCTAAAAGTCCTGCAACTGACCCAAACTGAAACAGCTGTTAAGTAACAATACTGAAATCTGAAGCTAAAGAGTTTAGGTAGAATGGAAAAAGGTACAGATTTGGAATCCCAAACCCTAACTTTGCATCCCGGTCGTTTGAGTAAATTTCTTCAAAAACCTTGAGTTCCTTTTCTGTGAAAGTTGAGGATGGTTAAAAATACTTACCAGGTTGTTTTAGGATATTAGAAGTGAAAGTAATGGGTATGGTTCTAGCACGTAAATCCTCAACAAATGTTCATTCTGTTTGCTATTGGCAGTACTTAGCACAGAAGTTCTCCATGAATGGAGGTTGCCAAGTCTGTGCTGTTTTCCACTTACCATCCTGCCTCTAGGCAACTTTGTATTTTCCAAATCTTTGGTTCTCCAAAGTAAAGCCGCTTAAATGTTAATCATTTTTGAAGATGTTACAGAAGCCATGACTTTTATATCTGTTTTCTACATTTTATTTCCAAAGATTATGTTAAAGGCTGAACAGTGTGGAAAGAGAACGTATCTTTTCCTGATTTAAAAGAACTTAAAAGTTGTAAGGAGCATATTAAGAGAAATGGAAGCATTCAGCATTTTTTTCCTAGCAGTTTTTAAAATGGTGATCATTATAAAAGAAGATCCAAATATCTTTGACACCACCTCAAACCCACTAGCTATATGATTTTACAAAAAGAAAAACCATTTCTTTGTAAAAAGTATCTAAGGTAAAGGAATATATTTTTTAAAGGACTATTCAGTTTAAAGAAAAGAAACCTGAAACCTTGAGAAAGTACTAATAGACTGGTGAATTGGTAGGCTGCTAAGTGGTTTATGAAGGATCGGTGAGGCAGGGTATAGTCAAAGATGACAAAAATGGGGATATATGGTACATGTCTCAAAAAGCTTCAGATAAATTGCAAGGGAACTTGGTTGTTTGAGTCTTTATAACTTCATGCCTCACATGTATTTTTTTTTTTAAGATTTTATTGGGGAATTGGGGGAGGGGAATAGCCAAATTGTTGTCTTTCAATCTTAGTTGTGGAGGGCGCAGCTAGCTCAGCTCCAACTCCAGTCACCATCTGGCTGCCCATCAGCAGCTCGCAGCCGCTCAGCTCAAGGTGCGGTGTTCAATCTTAGTTGTGGGTGGGCGTAGGCCACCATCTCATGCCGGAGTTGAACCAGCAACCTTGTTGTTAGGAGCATGTGTTCTCACCAGGTGAGCTATCCGGCCACCTGTTGACAGCTCAGTGACAGCTCAGCTCAGGCGCAGCTCACTGGCCCATGTGGGAATCAAACCGGCGACCCTGTTGCCCAGAGCTCTCGCTCTTAACTGAGCCACTCGGCCGGCCGTCACATGTATTTTTGTTATCCATCTTTTTTGAGCGATGTCTATTTGTTCCATTTGATAATGCCATTTAAAAAGCTGATGTCCTGGGATCTTTGAATGACAGTATCAATGTTACTTAGTCTTCAAATATTGGTATTTTAAAAGGCTACTTGCTCTAGGATATGAGGTTAGCAAGTAAAAAGCCCTACAGTAGTGATCTAACAGTGAATGCATTATAAATAGAAAGGAATTATGAATTTATATGAGTAAATGTAGCAGATATTAATATGTTCAGAATATTAATAATGCTTTGAAGCTGAGGCAGTGTTTTCCTAAGCTTTATGTTGGGCATTTTGTTAGGTGTTTATTACCACAATTAAACCCAAGAACCCTGTGAAGCAGTATTAACATTTCTTTAGTGTTATTAACACATAAACAATACAGCAAGATGAAATGAAACTGAACAATTGCTGAAAGATGTTCATAAGTTGGAACAAATGTATATGCATGTTCTGCTTAATGTTTTTAAGTCATATAATGAAATTGAAACATGAACTTGTTCTTTTCAGATTGTATCAACTTTAGGTAAACAAGAAGCAGAAAGGAAGTTTGAAACTCTTTTAAATCACTTGTCACATCCTCCATCATTCACAACTGTCAGAGTAAATACACATCTAGGCTCAGTACAACATGTGAAAAATATGTTATCTGACGAACTTCAGAAGGTTTGTGCAAATTTTTTATGTCATTATGTATGTAATTACATTTTTACAGTCTGTATCATGTTGTTCCCATTAACATCCTAGGAATGATATAATTCTATTTCGATTTTATAAATACTGAAATTGAGGATCATAAATGTTAAATTGTTCAAGGTTACATGGTGAGTTAGGCAATGCTAAAAATTGAACCTGGCACTTCTGATTCTGAATTTATTATTTTTAGTGACTGGATAGGCCATTCAACTCCTCTGGGCCTCAGTTGCTTCATCATTAAAATACATGTGAAGAGGTCCAGTCTCATCCTAAAATCTGATTTTGTAATAAGCTGCATATAATGATCAGGAGTGAGGATTGTATAGCTGAGGTGAGCCCAGACTTAGGGAGATACCTACTGACTACCTATAGAATTATGTTTTTCTACATAAAAGCGTTGGAGAATTACCTTATTTTTAATACAAGCAGGAAATTAGAACAAGGTAAAGAATATATATTTTAAATAAAACAACATAGATTATTTTTTCCAACCAATGAAACAGTTTTGACATAATAGTCATTTTCTATGAGTGAAAGCAATATTATAAACTATTAATAGAATTTCATAAGTTCCAAACAGAAAAATATTTTAATTTTCTTGTTTATGTTATCTCAATTTTTTGCTTTCAAAAGCTGAGCATTTTGTGTTTCATACACTGTGCACTGAAATATGCCTCCAAAGACATGTGAGATGGAGGAAAATGGATGCCTGAGGGGGGGTACTTCAAATTGCGTTTTGTAGTTATTAAATCTCTTAGAACAAGTAACTAACTGTTGGGTGTCAGCAGACCTATTTCTACCTAATTACTATTAAAAGCAAGAGTCAAGCATGATTAAAGGGCTTCCATTTGTATACTGGCTGTGTTTTCGGTTACTCTAGATAAAAACATTCAGAAACTTGCAGACAATTATCACTGGTGTTGATTCACTTTAAGAATAATTCTATAAATTTGAAGTTTTGAGTGGATAACTCTGGCCTACAGCCATACCACCTTGAACGTACCCATTCTTGTCTGAGTCGATAACTGTTATATGAAGAACCAGCTGTGGCATCTGAATATACTCGTATATGCTTTCAGTTAGTAGAGAGGAAACTGTTCTGAGGCCCATCAGAGGTGTCCATAATTCAGGCAGATACTACTTGTTTTCTAGAAAATTATTCCTAGAGCTTAGATATTCTATTGTAGTAGCCCGGTCTAAACAATATAGGTGATCTTATGGGCTAGTATCTAGATTGAGGCAGACAGAATCACTCTGGGTGGGCTTTGAGTTCCTTTTTTTTTGAAGGTTAAGATTAGACAGGGAAGGCTGGGTCCTAAGTACTAGATAGGACACTGGGGGTAGGGCAGTAACTATTTCTAGCTGGAGGAGGTTTTAGACTATACATTTTCTTTCTCCCTCCATGTTCCAAAGCTCATGTGTGTCCTAAAAAGATGTCCCAAATGGGATGATGGAAGAGCAGGTGATTTGTCCCCAGATTTCTCTGGGCCACAGTAAGATTGAATAATTTATCCTTTCATTTGGTTGGTGAGGATGTGGAGAAACTGGAACTTGCATACTTTGCAGGTGGGAATGTCAAGAGTGTCAAATGGTTGGCCTCTTTGGGAAAAGTTTGGTAGTCTCTTAACAAGTTACACATAAACTTACTGTACAAACCCAACAGTGGAATGAAAACTTATGTTCATATAAATGCTTGCACATGAGTATTCATAGCAGCATTGTTCGTAATATCCAAAGGAAGAAGCTATCCAAATGTCCATCATTCAGTGAGTAAAAAACTGAAATGTGACATATTCATACAGTGGAATACTATTCAGCTGTGAGGGTAGTGAACTGATAATGCTACAACATGAGTGAACCTCAAAAACATTATTTCAGTAAGTGAAAGAAGCCAGACACAGACATTATATATATTGTATTTTATTTATGTGAAATGTCTATGAAAGGCAAATTTACAGAGAAAAAGTAGCTTAGTGGTTGCCTAGGGTGGAAGCTAGGAACTGGGATTGACTACAGATGGGACATAAGGAATCTGTGTGTGCTGATGGAAATAATCTAAAACTGAATTACAGTGATGGTTGCACAATTCTTTAAATTTACTCAAAATCATTGAGTTGTACATTTAAAATGGGTGCATTTTATCATAAATTAAACCTCAATAAGGCTGTTTTTTAAGGGCATGGGGCAAAAACAGAAAAGGAAGCAGGTGATGTGCTTGGTTTAAAAAAAAATTTGTTTTATGAAAGTTATGCACATGTGTGTGGTTTTATGTAAGTCTGTATCATTTTAGCATCTGATAGAAAAAGGAGAGAAGAAAAACACAAACCTTGGTTTGAGAAAGCTTGATCTATATAAAATATTTCTGTAGTGTAAAGCAAATAGGACTTTTAACACAAAAGGAAAACAATTGACAAAATTTATCTTCTCCTTGGAAAGATCAGTTTATCACAGCCTGGATACGGTAAAGCCATCAAACAACGAGAGAGGGAACAAAAGGCAGAGGGGCTTGATCAAACGAGAAGGCGCTTACCTGTCAGATCCTTAGTAGCTGTCTGTTAGATAAGGTTAGTCTGAAATGTCCTTCACCTAGAAGAAATAGAGGACAGGAGAGCTGTTGACTTGATAGAAATGTAGTCAGATTGCTAAAATACAATTTTTTTCTCTTATCAACTTAGAAATAAGTTGATGTTAGAAGTTTTTTCTAGGTGGTGTATGGATACTACAGGGCAATACAAATATCTGTTATTATTACTGCTCTTTCATAAAAATTGAGTTGATAATCCCTAGCCTACATGGCAGAGACTTGTTCGCAAATATTTGCATATTGCCTTCTGATAGTATAATATACAGCCCTTGCTATCTGGTCTACTATTCTCTTTATTCTGCTATGTGGAGTGCCCAGCCACCTTCTGCCTGCAACAGTGCTGTGCTGGTACATACTGAACAGCCAACTTTCTGGGAAAAATAACCTTTTGTGATGGCTTGATGATTTAATTGGTATAAATACTTCCATTGTGGTCAGTTTCAAGCTGCCAGCGTGACCGTGGCGTTGGGAAGAGATGTACAAGGTTGGCTGTGATGGGACTGTATGAGCTGGGACTGTGTGAGTGGCCCCAGCACGTGGTTCCAGTCTGAAGGCCAAGTGTGATAGAGGATACTGAAAGTCCTAAACCTTTGCCAGAAAGCATTTATTTCCCTCATCAAAACTTATATGGCCTGTAGTTGTTGATAGTGTATCATAAATATTTGTTAATCTCAATCTTTAATATCCTATTCAGGAGCTTTTCTTGAGAGTTCTATAAAACATGCAGTTCTATATCGGATATATGTTTTTAAAGTAAGTAAGGTAAACATGTATTTATAAAGCCAAACAGTAAGCAAAATTCAGCCTTACAAAGAATTTGGGATACTTCAGAATCAAATTATAGAGAACACATAGTTGTTTTGAAGTCTTTTTGTTTTTTGGATCTCATTGAATAAAGTGAAAATACTCCAAACCAAATTTCGTGCTCTGCTAGGTAATGATACATACAAAAAAGCTCCATAAATTGAAATTTATCAATTATAGTCAATTATATTGCTCTATAATTCTGTGTGTTTATTTTTAACAGCAGTTTAATGGATTAAGTGTTCCTATCCTTCAACATCCAGACCTTCAGGATGTCTTACTTATTCCTGTTGTTGGACCTAGGTTCGTAACTGTTTAATTTTCAAATTACATTATTCTCAGTAAAATTTTGTCACAGGTTCTTTTTTTCTGTTTAGTGATAATACTTTCTCTGTTATTAGTAACTTTATATACATACACAGGGATTCACACATTCATAAATGTTGACTTCATACTCTATCATGGAAAAATAATTACAAAGGGAGACTAGGAATGGGCCCAAATACCTTGAGAGTAATTGACTTTTTTCCTCTATACTTTCTAAGAAACTTCCATTTGTTTACTTGTATATATTGAGAAATTCCATTGCTAAATTGAAACTTTTTTTGAGCTACAACAAAAATACAGTGAAGCATATTTGCTACTTTTATAGCTGATGTGGTTGTAAATTTTATTCATTAATTCACCATTATGTTAAATTACTACATATATTCTGAGTAGAACAGGCACTGTTCTACTTATTTATGTATTTGGAAGGTATACTTGTATGTCTGAAAATTGAAAAAAAATAGGCTTTCATATTATAATGGGATTTCTTTTCAAAGGAGCCTTTTAAAATCCCTGATTATGGTATAATTTATTTATATCCCTATGAAGTGTAATAAATATAAAGATGCTCATTTTATTAAAGCTTTAAAGTAATTTAGTGGTCAATAGTAAAGCAATGGTTCAACAAATTGTGGTTTATCCATGCAGTGGCACATTATATGGCCTTAACGGGGGAGAATTATATATGTATATATCAATAAGAATATGTTCATGATTAACTATCAAAAGCATTTTGCTATGCATGGGATAATTACTTTTCTTTTGCAATTAAGAAAAAATACAACTACACCCTTATGTATAATTATTTATAGAAAAAAGTCTGGCAGGTATAACGTACCCAACTATTAACAGGGATTAACTGAGGAGGCTGGAATGGGAGAAAGGGGCTGAGAGGAGATTTTCACTTGTAGCATTTCTGTTTTATTTTTTACTATAAGCATGTATTACTTTTGCAATTAAAAAATTGATTTTGTGAGTTCCTTATTTTATTTTTAAGATGAAATTTGCATACAGTGAAATGGAGAGATCTTAAGTGTACCGTTCCCTGAGTTTGGCCAAATCTATACAACTGTGTAGCCAAGACCCACCCCGATCAACATCTAGACCATTTCCCTCACCCCATAATTCTCTCTCTCTCTCTCTCTCTCTCTTTTTTTTTCCTTTATTGGGTAACTGTGTTTTTCCAGGACCCATCAGTTCCAAGTCAGGTGGTTGTTTCAACCTAGTTGTGGAGGAGGCATCTCAGTGGCCCATGGGGGATCAAACCGGCAACCTTGGTGTTATGAGCACTGCGCTCTAACCAATTGAGCTAACTGGCCGGCCCCCTATAATATTCTCTTTCATTCTGCTCCCCTACCAGGAAACCACTGTTCTGATTTCTGTTATCTCCTATTTAGTTTTAAATCAGTTACTGCAGTCTATCACAATGACAGGTCTTTTAAGGTTATGCTTCTTGATTCATTTCAGAATATGTTGTGGACGTCTTTCTATGATGTCCGTAATTTTCCCCGATTCATATAATGCTCTTTTATTTTAAATAACTATCAGTAGTGTATTTTATTATTGAGCTCAATTTTGTTTTTCCGGCCCTTCATTGATAGACATTTAATTTTTTCCTGTTTTTTTTTTTATTATGACCAACAGTGAATATTCTTAAGATATTTCTTTTGTGGATTTGCATAAGCATGTCTACAGGATAAGTTGGTACAACATGGAATCACTGGCTCGATGATCTGTGCATATTTTAGATTGAGATGTCCTGCCCTCTGGAAAGTTATACCAGTTACTGTTTTTAACAGTACGTGAGAGATTCTAATTCTTCCATTCTTGTTAACTGGGCATTTTCGTTCTTTTAAATTATTTAAAAAAAACCCCAAACTTTATTTTCTGTACTTATTATTTTACCTGACCTTAATAATCTTTTCATCCTATTTGTATTGATCTAGGCTACTCATCAGCATATTAGTGAACTATATAGAACACAAATGGTGAGTTACTACAGAAAGTATTAAAAAAATTATTTAGGATAGTAGATTCACACACTTAACCTTTCATTTCTGAAAGTATCATATCAATTCCTTTGTTTTTTAAACCTATCATCACTATTATTATCTCTTGACTTTCCACTGTGAAAAATGAGGACATTCTTACACTTAAATTTGCCCTAAAACTCCCACCAGTCAATTTTTACTTATTAATACTGTTTTTTTTAACATTGTAAAGGTTTATCACAGTTGTATTCATTAAGCACAGTTCAAATGGATCCAATGCTTGCTTTTAACCCTAATGGTGTAGTTTATTTCTGAGTTTTTTTTGTTTTGTTTTTTTTTTGTTTTTTTTTTTAAGCTGAGCCATCCTGCTACCTGTTGGCAGCTCAGCGGCTGCTCAGCTCTGGCTGGAACTCGAACCGCTGTTGCTCAGAGCTCAAACTCTTGAGTGAGCTCTTAACCAACTGAGCCACTCGGCCGGCCTCTGAGTTTTTTATCTTGATTCATCTCTTGGTTGATGACAAGAGTCATTTATCATATCTGCAGCACCTGCTTCCCATCGCCAAATTATGTCTCTCGTGTGCTCTGTTTGCTTTCTTGCTTGAGAATTGCCTGTTGCCTTTATATTTAAACAACTTGGCTGATTATAGTAGTTACATATTGTTTCCCTTATCGCTTTGTAGACATTACTTTCACAATCTAAAGGCATAAAGTATTGCAATGAAGAAATCGGAGACCAAAAAAAGAATTATCCCCTTTGTAACAAAATCTTGGTTTTTGCTTGAAGATCTGTGGGTTTCTTAGTTGTTGAACTTTAGAAACTTGGCTAAGATATAGTTTGATTTTTACTATTCTCTCTTAGTTTTGAATGAAACATAGTGTAACTTAAATACATGTCTTGCAGCAGTACTTTGAATATTTTTCTGTCACAGTTTTTTCTCTATCACAAGGACGCGAGGACTCTGTACGCTGGATTTCAATGCAGGTCCTCCTTGTGTTGGGGCACCCCAACACAACCCTCAGGTTTGGTAATTGTCTGGAAGGACTTGCTGGACTCAGCGTATAGTCATGCTCATGGAAAAGATTTGTTATACGAAAGGATACAAAAGCAGAATCAGCAGAGGGAAAAGGTTCACGGGGCAAGAGCTGGAGGGAGCTGGGCACGAACTTCTAAGCGTCTCCTCCCCGTGAGTGACCAGAACATGCTTCGTGCCTCCAGCTCCCCACGGTGACCCGTGTAAGATGGCTGTCCAGCAGGGAAGCTCATTAGAGACTCAGTGCCAAGGGTTTTATTGGGTGCTAGTCATATAGGTACCCTCTGCCTAGCATTACTACGATCCCAGGCTCCCCAAAAGAAAGCAGGTATTCAGGATAAACCGCTTTGCTTCTAGGAACAGTTGAGGAACAATAATCCACTATTACCGTTAGGGGAGGCTTTACATCACTATCAGGAACTGCTTCCCAGGCTGGTTTTCAGGTGCCAACTAAGGGCCAACCTTGTAAGCAGACCTTTCTAAGAATAGCTTGTTGTGTTAACTCTTATTTCAGAGGATATCCTTTATTTCCTGAGCTCTGCAACTTCACTTTTCTTCCAGGTTTTTGTTTTGTTTTGTTTTTTAATCTTCTTGTTCTTACATCCCTTTTTCTGAGTTTTTTTGTGGGTTTTTTTTTTTTCAGCATCTTTGAAAATACAGAGAAGTATTTGAAAATTTTCCGTTCTTTTGTTGTACATTTTTCACCTGTCTTTTACTAATTTTTTTTTTTTTTGGTACTAGCTGTGAATAGGTCTTATGAATGAATCATTCCTACTCGTTCATTGAATGGAAACAGTTACAGTCACGTAGATACACTTAGTTGGCAGTTTGCTCAAGGATGATACAGTGTGGGGTGAAGTGTGTGTCTAGACAACTACTTGTGCTTTGCAGAAATACCTTCACCATGTCTTTCTTAGTGACTCATTTCTATTCCTGGTGAGCAGTGCTGACAAAGACTGAGGCTCTTGAAGGCTTCCAGCTCATAGCTGTTGTATTTGGAGCTTAAGTTTTGTTAATGCTTACTTAGTGAACTCAGGTGATAAGCCACAAAACTGGTTGCTATTTATTCCTCTTCTCTGCAGCTACTTCTTGGCAGTTTTTCCAGGTTTGTCAGAGAAAATACAGATTGTCTGTGCCCATTCTGACAGTCCAGTTTCTCTTTCAGCTTTGTCTGATGAGCAATGCCTGACAAAGCATTCCCAGAGTCTCCTTTTTTCCTCCCTGAACCTCCAGCCCTGGTTCAAAGTAATAAATACCTGAGTAAGCCCCAGGAGCCTTTCCTTGTCAGAAACATTCATGCCCTGTTGAAGAACTAGATTTGATCCAGATTTCACTGTGTCAGATAATTATTCTTTATCATTGGGAGTATAGCTGTTTCTTCGTGTTATTACAAATGAAACTTCTCAGAGTTTTGTTCTTTTTTTTCTTCCATTTCTGTGGGCTCAGAAAAAAAAATACATTCTTCCTCTTTTACTGATTTTTACTAGAAGCTCAATAGCACACAATTCTTTAAAATATCAAAATATAAGTTAAACTTTCTGGACAGTAAAAAATTTTAAAAGTATTTTCCACCATAAATTCAGATTCTCTCAGTTTATTTAACATGGTATTTAATATATTCATCAAATATATTTTAATGTTGGGAAGGTTTTATCATTAGTAATTTAATGAGTGAACATACGGTTGTAATGCTGAATTTGATGTTATCAATATCAACTTTATTGAAAAACTTAGAGAAAATTGAACACCAGGCTTCTCTGTCTCCACCATCCCACCCTCCCCTCCTCCCCAGGCTTCTCTTGATACAAGAGTGTTTTTAACTTCATATTCCCACCAGCATTTTCTAAAGAATGCATTTAGATCAGTTGAATTTTTTAGGCCAATATTCAGTAATTTTTAAGGATCTCTACATTTTCTCTATCAGTGCTCTTCCCTTTTTGATAAAAACCTCAACAAAATATTTCCAGCAAGTCAGAAAATTAATTTTCTACCTTTTCTTCACATTTGAGTACACAGTAGGATACATCTCTTGAGATCCAAATGAGGCTGGATTTGCCCTTCTCTTTCAGTCTGCTTGATTTCCATCTTCCTTGGTTGCCTTGTCAATAGTATCAGCACTTTAGGCTTTGAATTACTGTTTGTATGTAGGAAATAATAGGGTAGATGGTATAGAATATCAAGTAATTGCAAAAAACTGCTCATTAAATACAGATGGCAGTGCTGCGGAAAAATATTTGGTTGCATGCCACTATCGTGATATCTCAAAATTATCATTATCTTCCAGTTGGTGGAGGGTTGCTAATATGTGCATTTAGAGAAGTGCCAAATAGATAAGTCTTTATTTTTATATACTCTTTATTGAAACATTCCCATAATTTTAGTCTTTAATTCTTAGTCACCTCATTTTTAGATTTTTTTTTAATGGTCTTTTTTTTAAAGTGTATTGGAGTGACAATGGTTAGTCAAGTTACATAGGTTTCAAGTGTACGCTTCTGTAATACATCATCTATATACTCATATCACATTGTGTGTTCACCACCCAGAGTCAGTTCTCCTTCCCTCACCATATATTTGATCCCATTTACCCCCATTTACCACCCACCTCCCTCCTTACCTTCTGGTAACCACTAAAGTTTTTCTGTGTCTATAAGTTTCTGTTTCTTTGTTTTGTTCCTTTGTTGCTTTCAGTTTTATATCCCACACACCAGTGAAATCATATGGTTCTCAACTTTTCTGTCTGACGTATTTTGCTTAGCATAATAATCTCAAGATCCATCCATGTTGCTGCAGATCGCACTATTTCATCTTTTCTTATGGCAGAATAGATGTTTCAATAGTTTTCTCTTAATCTTAAGTACCTTCATACTGCTTTTCCTCCAATTTCTATTACTGGACTATTGGAAAATCATTGTTCTTTAATGTTGTTTCACTCCTTTATTTAGAAACTTTTCATTAAAAATCAAGCTTTTTTGGCTCTCTATCAACTTTTATACTAAGTCAGCAGAGCTGACTTTCACCTTGATTCTTGCAGTAACATTTTATGTTTTTATAACAATAAATTCTTGTCTTAAGGGATCCCCAAGACCACACCCTAGTTTGATGGTTCTCTAGGAAGACTCAGAGATGCAGCATATAGTCATACTCATGACTATGATTTATTACAGTGAAAGAATCTGAAGCAAAATCAGCAAATGAAAAGGTGCATGGGGCGAACCCTGGGGAAAACCATTTGCAAGCTTCTGGTTATTTTCCATGGAGTCATGGGATGCACTTGATTTCCCCAGCATGAGTTTGACAACATGTAAGATTTTGCAAACCAGGGAGGTTCATTAGAGACTGCATCCATGATTTATTTTTTCGTTACTGGTCATATAGGCATCCCCCTGCCTGGTATATACCAAAATTCCAGCCTCCAGAAGGAAATTCAGTGTTCACCATAAACTTTTATTTGTACAAACAATTTAGGCACAGTGAGCGACACTTATCAGTTGATAGTGAGAACCCTCCAACTTCCCAGATAACAGCCAAGGACCAACCTTATAACCAGGCCTTCTAAAGGAAGGATAGCAGTTCAGGCCTGCTACATTAACTCTTTTCTCTGTAGTCTTTCTTTCTCTCTTCTCCATGAAGTGGTTATTCTCATAAAAACTTTCTGGTTAATACTATAAGGTTCCATTCACAAAAAAGCATTGTTTTAATGGGTGCTGTGTGTAAGACCCAAAGGTATTACAGAGATGAATGAAACATAGCTTAGTCTAAAAGTAGAGAACTTGGGTACAAGTCAGATTGTGATGAATGTTATAATAGAGGTATGAATTAAGTGTCTTGAGTGTAGAGTAGGAAGGACTGAGTGTAAGGAAATGGGTAAAGATTTTCTCCAAGTAGATACTATTTCAGGTGACTCTGGAAGGTGGAGGAATTAGGCTGATGAGATCATGTGGGCGAGGGTATGCTAGGTAGAGAGAAAGTATTTCCAAAGATACAGAGACATAAAAATGTATGGTGGTTCATCACAAAAAAGATCAGGCTTGAGTACTCAATTGGTTTTTCAGAGAGGTTAGTGATGAGGTTGAAGAGGTCAGGGGAGGTAGACGTGAAGTGTAAAGGAGATATATATTTTTAAGCAAAGTTTTCCTTTCTGCATAGACTATTGGAGCTATACTCATAAAAACTTTTAGTTATGACTAGATCTGTATTTTAGGGACATATTACTGGTAGTAGCATAAAGCTGTGTTTTCCAAAGTGGTGCAGATCATAACCCATTAGTAGGTTGTAAAATCAATTTCATTTTTTTATAATAAACATTTTAGAAAATAAATGGGATATTTTATAATATATTGCATTGTCTATAGTAAAGATGTTATTTCATGAGACACTTGTTATACATATGTGTGTGTATAAGATGAACTGCAAGACTGGAGACAAGTTTCCGATGACATGGTGAACTAGATAACCTGGAAATGTTTCTGCTACATCTAAGAATACTACATGAGAAATAGGCCACAAAGTGCACAGCTGAATGATTAAGACTCTCAGTGAAATATTCCAGAATTAGAGTGAAGAGTAACTGAAAACAGAGCAATAAGCATGTGAGCTGATATTTGGGGGTTCGGGGATGTGGGAGAGGAGGTGGCTGGTTTCTTAAATTTAGGGGCTTTGGTTTAACCACAGCATGTTGACACTACAAGGTGAGAAATGTCCGGAGTCAGTAATCTAGGAACTGGATCTGGGTTGGAGAAAACTCTTCTGAGAATGTACAACTGTTGTGCCATACCTCATAAAGGTTTGGGATTCCAGCTCCTACTACCCAAGTGGTCTTGACACCTGTAATCTGGGGAATTAACATAAAAATTTGATCCGAAGCCAGTTCCTGAGGTGCTTGGCGAAAACCACGCAAAACCACACTCGAGTGACACACATTCAGTCCAGGCTGCACACATTTCTCATGGTCTAAAGCTACACTAGGAGTCAAACCACCATGAGTGAGAATCAACATGCACAGCAAATGGAAGGGTTGGATTTCCCCCAAAACTAGCAAATGGAGCTATCTGGTATAAAATCAGTTTTGTTAAAATGATTAAAACAAAAGTAGTAATCCAAAAAGGAAGAGCCTAAGAGGGGGGGAAAAAACTGTAGGTTAGTCTCAACCAATGGAGAATTACTGAAGTAGGTGACTCAAAGGAAAGGCAACAGAGAGACATAGATCAATTGGAAATGTGAAGCCGAGTCACAGAAAACAGAATGAAAAGGTACTTCATTTTTCTAATGAGTCCTGCATATTGAGAATAGGAAAAATGGGAGTGAGATAGTAGTGAAGAATGTAATGACTAAGAATTTTCTAGAATTGATGGACAGACTTAAGAAGTACAATGAGTCTGAAGCCAAAAGTAAAAACAAATCCATGTCTAGATACTTCAGGGTGAAACTACAGAACAGCAAAGACAAGTTCCAAAAGCAGTCAAAGGTGAAAGGTAGGAAGTGACTCAGTCATCAGGTTAGGAAGTGATGCGTGTGTGATGTGAGGCAGTCAGCCCAGAGAACCCATCAGCGTTGCAGGCGGTGTGACTTGATGACTCAGTGAGTATGGCGTTAGGAGGTCCAGGAAGAAGAGATTCACGCTGATGCTGGTGTTTCTAGTTTGGTTATCCAGGCAGATACTGACACTTTGTTCAAGACTGGGAACATGGGAGGCTGAGAAGATGTGGGGCATTGCCATGGATTTGAGGAGTGGATCAGAGAAAAATAACATCGTTTAGGAGTTTGAAGTAACTGTGGGATACCTAGATATAGCTAGGTAATTAGAAAGTCCAGAAATGCTAAATATTAGACTACATGGATTGTTTTTGTAAGTGATTATTGAAATCATGAAATTACCAAGTGTTAGGATGCAAAGTGAGAAGAGATGGTGGCGTGTTTTGGAACTTGGGGAATGGATCTCTTTCAAAAATCTGTAGAGAATGAGCAATGAACATGTGTGGGACCAGAAAGGAGTGGTATGAAGCTGAGAAGTTCAGTGAGATTTGATCATCTGCAGATCATAGAAGATGGGACGCACTTAATTCCCCCAACAAGGAGTTGTGACAACACGTGAAATGTTGCCAACCAGGGAAACTTGTTAGAGATTCAGTGTGCAAGAATGTTATTCGGGGTGATCACATTGACACTCTCTGACCTTTGAAAAAAGTCTGTCTGAGTATTAGAAGTGATAACCTAGATTTTAGTGATCTAAGGAATGAATTGGAGGTGAGAAATCAGAAAACATTCAAAATAAGTTGGTCAAGAAAGGAAGAAAAAAGTGACTTTTGTCCATCTACTTTAAAATACTAATAATTTACCTTGCAACAATCCCACTTCAGAAATGTTTTTGAATTCCTTGTATAGTGCCTGTTTTAGGACTTTAATTTCTCTGTTATAAAAACAGCAATGCTTGTTAAGTGATTAAGCAATTCCGGTTCCGCTTTACCTCTTCCACCTCTTTCTGTTTTTTCTTTTCTCAAATGCCTATCTCTTTTTAAAAAACTATTTTCTCTGTATTTGTCTTTTTTTCAGCGTTCTCTTTCTCATTTATTCATTAATGACATTATCTTGGGGCAATGATGACTGCAGAGGTTATTTACTTAGGGTTTAGATTGAAACATTGAGAAGGTTGGGACATGTTGGAGGTATATTACTCTGTTAAATTCCTGTTTCTTCTGTCCCTAGGAAGAATATAAAAAAGCAACAGTGTGAAGCCATTGTGGGAGCCCAGTGTGGCAATGCAGTGTTAAGAGGAGCCCATGTCTATGTTCCAGGAATTGTGTCAGCTTCAAAATGTAAGTATAAAGGTTGTAAATAAAAAAAAAAAAAAAACAACCAAAACCTGAAAGATGAATAGGTCTAGAGATTTAAATGTGGCTCACAAGGCCTAACATACTGCGCTTTACCGAAAACGTTCATTGAGCCCTACCTAATCTACGAGTTTGTGATTCGAACAGTCCTTCTAACTGTGGCTGGTAGGCTACTAACCACGGTTGTTAGGTTAATGGAGTGGACAGATTTATAATAGGTTAGGTCTTAAAACATTTTTTGGAAGTGGAATACAATTTCCCATTGTTAATGTCACTGGGATTTGTTACTGAAAATCATTTAATGAAATGACCACAAAACTGGATTTAACCATATAAGTCAACTCTGTACACTTACAGTTTCAAGGTGTTCTATGTATGTATATATAGAATATGTATATATGTATATATGGAATGTAAATGTATGTATAGAATATATATGTGTATATAGAATATAAATGAATGTATGTGCTTATTAAAATCTCCGCCTTACTTGCTATAGTGAAAACTGCGAAGAAATACCAGCAGGGTTATGGGATTTAGAAAGATTCCTTTGAGGAATTTTAGTGTATGTTTTTGAAGGAAACTTTGAGGATTGAGCCAAAGATTTCAAGGTTTATATGAAGTCTTGAAGGGAATGTTAGGTTTGGGGGAAATAATTTAAAGATATCTTTTCTGCTCACCTAAAGACTTCTAATTGAGGTAGGATATTTTGAAGACTATTTTATTTCTTTGTTTTCTTTGGGGGAAAAAAATCTTCAGTTAGATTTATTGTTTGGGAACATTTAAAAGTAAAAAGTATATTTTCTATTAAGGGTTATTTTGAGATAGTGAGCCAGTTTAAACTGTTTCGTGCCCACTATTGATGTCCGTAGAGATCCCCAGTCTAGATTAAAGAATTTTCACTGTTCTATCGAAGTATAGATTATAATATGATTTTCTTCTTTTACTAGTTATGAAAGCTGGAGATGTGGTTTCTGTATATTCTGATATTAAAGGCAAATGCAAGAAAGGAGCCAAAGAATTTGATGGAACAAAAGTATTTCTTGGAAATGGGATTTCTGAATCAAGCCGCAAAGAAATCTTCAGCGGACTACCTGACCTGAAGTATGTCATAAAGTGTTCGGAGGAAATAAGCATGCTTTTTGTGGTTCAGGGAAAATTAAAAACAATGTAAAAATATATCTAGTTGCAGGATATGAATAATTTTTTGGTATAAATTGAGCTGGAAGATAATTACTTAGCCCATACATCCATGTTTTTTAGAAAACATGCTTTTAGGTAGAAGAGTAAATGCTCAGATAAAGAGCTTTAAGTAAGTAATTATCAAGTAATTTTTTCCTTTTGAATTTTATGGATTTTTATGAAATTTTTGCGTCTTTGGAGAATACTACTTATCTTGATTAAGGATGAATAATATGGACGTATCCAGATCTTTTCACACATTCTGTTTTTGTGAAAGGAAAAGCTTATAATTTTAATATAAATTAAAAAGAAAAATATTTTTTAGTTAAACAGATTTTACCAGAAAGCTAGCACTCACATGAATGCTTGTCAAAAATGAATGTTTGGATTTACGCAAACCAAATTAAAATATAGTTAGTTTTAAATCATCTCTGGCTGCTACTGGCTCTAAATAAATTAAATCTGTGGACAGTCCAGTTTCTTATTTTCCTTAGTATTTTCAGCCTGTTTTAGGAGTTCTGTGGACAACTCCATTTTTGGCAGCTGTTGTAGACACGTGAAAGCTGTGAATCTAGGGGTTCAGAACAGGCCTCCCCAAGGTGTGTCTCACTTTGGCTTGTGAATTATTTTGAGCTAAAAGCAATTGAGACCTTGCAGGTTCATGAGAAACTTTTACCTCGCCCTTAAAGTTAGGGAGAGAATTATCACCAGAAATAACTTGTGATGACCTATCCATAGGTCACGGCAAACATCTAATTAGTGAACATATGCTCTTATCCTGTGAATGACTTTCCTCCCCTTGGAAGCCTCAAGGTACCTTACATCATCCTTAGCTCAGAATGTCATAAACATCTCATTTTCCCTTTCTGTCTCTGAACCTCTCATGTATGTGGGGTTTCCTTATATACGTATGTAATTAAACTTGGTTATTTTCTCTTGTTAATCCAATCAGTCTCATAGATTTAATTATTAGAGCAGCCGAAAGAATCTAGGAGGGTAAAGTTTTTCCTTCCCCACAAAGGGCTGGACCACACCTCTGATTCCTGAAACAGTTTTTCATGTTGCGGCAATTTGGGCTTATAGTTGCAATTAATTCTCCTGAAGAAACAGATTATTGAATTTCCTAGCTCTCATTATCAGTGCTTTCCAAATGGCCAATAACAAAGATTTTCTTCTCCTGTGTTTATCTTCGAATGAGTAACGGGATTGGTATTTTGACTGCCTCCTATTATAGTTCATTATAAGCGGTACCTTGTTTGATGTGGTAGTTCTAGTAACTGTGCCGACAGATTTCTCTGACTAATGTTTTCTTTGTTGGTGGGACTAGGAAGCAGCCATCTTTCAGAAAGCTTGATTTTTAAACTCAGTTTTTGAACTCAGTATTCAGTGATACCATTATGATTTCTTTCTCTGCCTGTGTGAGAAACAGCATGCTTTCGTAACAAAGCAATGCTGCGAGTACACCCTGGTTCTTATTTACATTCTTTAAAACTTTTAGAGCCAAATGTACTACTAGCACTCAACTAGTAAATTTTCGCCCTTTGGTTTCTAGAATTTGAGGTGAGCTGAATCATTCATAGACTTAGAGGTAGATTAATTTACTGGCAGACTGTTTATCCTATGAGATCTTGTACTTTGCATTATTATGTTACAAAAATCCATATTACAAAAATAGTTTTAAAAGAAACTTGTAATCCTATACCTGAGCAATAATTGGCTTAAATTATTCTTTGTCATGTTATTTTAAGTTAAATACTGGATAGATGGACATGCTTGTGCTGGGCGATATGGTACAAAGGAGATAGTCCAGGGGCCCCAGGACTTGAAGCGCTTGGTGGGACCTGGGTTAGGAAGGCAGGCGCAGAAATGTTTTAGTATTTTTCAGAAGACTGGGATCCTGCAAGTCAGAAAGTCATTTAAATGATGGAGTGATCAGGTTGTGGAATTCATCATTTAAATGATGGAGTGATCAGGTTGTGGAATTTTTCAAGGCACTGAATCATGTGTCTAGGCTAGACTCTGGAGGGGGGCGGTGAGTTATTGATCCAGGTAAGAGCACCAGCTGTCTCAACAAAGGACTGACTTTTTAATGTGAGCAGTGACATTTCAGAAGGTTCCTTTGAGTATTTACTGCTCAGAAGCAGGAACTATTTGACTAGGAAGTGGTTTAATTTAATCCTGACTGAAGCAAGTACAGTCTTAACTCTGATTAAAAGTACAGATTCAGAGATATCACCTGGGTAAACAAATAAGGAAGAATAAGAAGGATGGGAAGAGGAAAAAAAGGAGTTAACATTTATTGTATGCCAAAGGATGTCAGAGATGAAGGGAGTTCATAATCATAGCCCTTCCAATGATAGTTCATAAATATTATAGCTACAGAAATTATGTTACTCTAAAGGGCAGCATGAATTTACCCTTGCTGTGGCATAATAAGAGATAATTTGATTTTTGTCCTGGGTGACTGGCACTCAGCTCCTAAAACCCTTGGAATCTCTGCAGTGGTGTCTTTCATATGCTAATGAATGACTGACAACCTGGAGGCGGAGCTTAGATAGCATCTGGATGGGGCTGGTTGCCAAAAGAACCAACCATGTGATTAGAGAGTTGGAACTTTCAGTCCCGACCCCCGACCTCTGGGGAGAGGTGAGGGGCTGGAGATTGAGTTAATCACCAGTAGCTAGTGATTTAATCAACCATGATGCCTCCATAGAAACCTCTAAACTATGGGGTTTGGAGAGCTTCCACGTTGGTGAACAAATCTGGGTGCTGGAAAGTTGGTATGCTGGGAGAGTGCATGGAGGTTCCTTGTGTCCCATCCCCTTGCCCTGTGAATCTCTTCCTTTTGGCTCTTTTTGAGTTGTGTCCTTCATAATAAAGTGGTAATTGTAAGTCAAGTGATTTCCTGAGTTCTGTGTTCTGTCAAACTACTGAACCTGAGGAGGGAGCTATGAGAATCCTCAAATTCATAGCCACCATCAGAAGGATAGGTGGCAACCTGGGATGTGCAACTGGCAACTGGAGTGGGGCCCTTGTAGCTCAGAGCCCTTGCACCCATGAAGTCTGGGGATAACTTCTGATAGTGTGAGAATTGAATTGTAGGGCACCCAGTTGGTATATGGAGAATTGTTTGGTGTGAGAAGAAAGATCCACACATTTGGTGTCAGAGCGTTGTGAATAAAATTAGCCCACCTGCCTACTTCAGGTGGTACAAACCATCTGGATAGATGCTTCTCTGCCAAGATGGGTTCATAAGCTATGAACTTGCCTCATGTTCTATATCTGAGGACTTGGTTCTTTTCTCTACTCGGACTCATTTCTTTGCTTGTACCTTTGTGCTTGGTTTAAGTCCTGATTCTTATCCTTGCCTTTTTTATTAGACTGTACTTTTTTCTGTGTCCCTCTAATCCCTGAAAGACTATGTTGATTTCCTCCTTTTCTTGCTTCCTCTGGTGTGGCCTGATACACCAGACTTCCTTTAACAGTATTTGTGTGCTTTCTCTCCCCTTTGATAGTCTCTTGACAGCCTCTCCCAGATTTTGATGTTAGTTTTTCTGGGTCACTGTCTACCTGGACCCTGGCCCTTCCTGCTCTGATCAGTTCCACTGCCACTCATAACGTGGGACAAAGGCAGAAAAGACCATCTTGAGGATTGTGTCCATAGTACCAAGTAGCTATTCTCTAAAGAGATGAGAGCAGTGTGGCATGTTTGTCATTGCTTAGCATCAGCAGGATTCTTACGACTACCTAGCACAGTGCCTTATAAACTGAGTTGTTTGTTGAATTGAAAAGCTAATAACAGTGATCAAAAACCTGTTACCAGAAAGATGAGAATGAATCAATAAAGAAAGACTTAGATGACCTTTGCTGCTTTAGTCTGTTCAAATCTCAAATTCATTTGTGCCCAAATGAAACATTTATGTAACTTTATCCTTTTTAGTCCTGATAGCCTACTGCAGGTGAAAATTGAGAAACAATTCACAGGACTAGTCTAACTGTTTTGGTGTCGAGTAAAAAGAGGTTTTAAAAAGGCTGAACGTCTGATATTTGACATGCTTCATGAGTGTTTCCCTAGAAATGGGCTTTGTGTAGAGGATGTAATTTATACAGACTAACATTAGATTTCCTGCTTTTCAGAGGTGTAGGCATAAGAATGACAGAGCCAGTATACCTCAGCCCTTCGTTTGACAATGTACTGCCCAACTACTTATTTTTACAGGTAAGTATTTGTAAAATATTTAGTGACATTGAAACATACTTCAGTGAATTATTTGAAATCTATGGTTTTAAAAAAAAATTCTATGAATATATTTTTGTGGTCTATTCATATATTTTCTGATCTACCTTTGGTTAAGCAGTAAGAAAAAATCTTGTAAGCATTCTTTTCTATTTCTCAACTAAGTTTTAACTACTTTTTAGCCTTTTTTGGCCAAGGTGCTTTAGTATAAAGCTTATAATTGTTGCTTTCCTTCTCAAAACATTAATCTGTAAGTAAGGAGTGTATTTGCTATACATGTAGGTGTTTACGTATAATTTTGAGTAAGAGTCAAATGTTTGACCACTAACAGGTTTTTGTCAGGTGGTTATTCATTGCTGTGATGTAACAAGTAATTTCTTTTGCCTCGTTCAGTTTATTAAGCACTTGCGTGTACATTAACTAATTTGATTTGTTACAGTCTGGTTAGGTGGTATTACCATTGTTGTTATTACCCCCAATATAGGAAGATACCAAAGACCAGATCTGTTAGGATTCTTCAACAGGATTACCCAAGTTGATGAAGTGTTTGGATTTTGTGCCCACCTTGCCTGCCAGCTGGGTAGGGGAAGGGCACAAAAAGGAACACTGGCACCTGCCAGCCCTAGACAGAAATGCCCCTCAGCCTTCACGCTGAAGCCAGACAATTCAGGCCCTCCCTCTTGTGTCCCTGGTGCTTTTCGAGCTGCTGCTCCTGTGCTGGAGCTCAGAGCAAGTCGGTTTGTGAGCGAGTGAGTCTGTGTGTGGTTACGTTAAGACCTGTGGTGCCTATGTCCCCAGCAGCCCTCCATCTCACACAGCCACAGTCCCCACTGGTTTTCACAACCAGAAGTTATGGGGACTTCTCTGACTGGCACTGGAGCCCTGGGCTGGGGAGCTCGGTGTGAGGCCGGAACCCCTCGCTTCTCTGAGGGGGACCTCCACAGCCGAGATGGCCCTCCCATTTCTTAACCGCCACACCTGGGTGTGGGACCAGCCCCTCCTCCTAGTCTCAGTGTGGCTTCTTTATATTCTAAGTTTGGGGGATTCTGTTCAACTAGTCTTCAGGAAGTTCTCAACGATGGTTGTTCTGTAATTTAGTTACAGTTTTGATGTGTTCGTGAAAGGAGGTGAGCACCGTGTTTAGCCACTCCACCATCTTGGCTGGAAGGCTCCAGAAGCTGTTTTGTTTGATGTAGTCTCATTAATTTTTGTTGTTGTTTTATTTTTGGTGTCAGATTAAAAAAATCATTGGCAAGACCTATGTCAAGGAGCTTCCTGCCTGTGTTTCCTTCTAGGAGTTTTATAGTTTAAAGTCTTACGTTCAAGTCTTTAATCCATTTTCAGTTGATTTTTTTGTGTATGATATAAGTTAGTGGTCTAGTTTCATTCTTCTGCATGTGGCTGTCCAGTTTTCCTAACACCATTTATGGAACAGACTGTCCTTTCCCCATTGTGTGTTCTTGGCTCTTTTGCTGTAAATTAATTGACGGTATAGGCATGGATTTGTTTCTGGGCTCTCTGTTCTATTGGTCTGCTTGTGTGCCAGTTACATACTGTTTTAACCACTGAAACTTTGTAATAGAGTTGGCAGTCATAGAGCATGATGCAGCTTTGTTCTTCTTTCTCAGGATTGCTTTGGGTACGTGGGGTCTTTTGTGGTCCCATACGAATTTTATGGTGGTTTTTTCTGTTTCTGAACATTTAAAAAAAAACTCATTAGGTGATTCTGATGTGTAGCCAGGATTGAGAAATATTGTAGAAAAATATAGTAGATGAAATCATTTTAAGAAAACTGTCATCATTTAAATACTTAGAGAAGCCTCTTCACTTGGACTATTTCATAATTTCAACCAGAGGGTTTTTAATGGGTTACTTATATTTGATTGGAACTATCCGTCATCTTTGACCAGTACATTAATCTTATCTTTATTAGGAGTTAAGCATAGCCAATTGTCTCTAGATAAAGACTCTCCGGCAGCCATCTACGTGTTTTAGTGTTTTCATATTAGAGTTCAATTTAAAAATATTTTTGAAATAAACTAGACCGTTGAGAGAAACTATCTGTAACAGATGAAGCTGTTTTTAGTGTTTAGTATGGAGGGACTGCTTTTCAGGTGCCTATGTTGTTTGCATTAATTTTAATGCTTCCTATGTCCACAGAGAGGGTGAAAACTTTCTTGTGTGTGTCTCCTTTCTCACCATCGATTTTCTGTTTTCAAGTGGTGATCTTGGATTCACTTGAGAGCATTGTAACCTCACAGTTCTTGAGGATGTACTAATGCATGTAAGTGTCTTGGTGTGAGAATGAATGGAAACCTTTAAACTTTAAAAATAAATAGCCCTATGCTTGTTAGCGTCTTCTTTTTTCTTGCCAACTATTTACAAAAAAATTACTTTGTGATATTCTATTTTATTTAAGGCTGACTGTCATCCTGTAGTAGTCTTTATATAATTAATGCTAATAAAGATTTAATGTAACTTATTGCTCTAAAGGTATAGTCGGTTTGTAGAATCTCATAATATATTTCTAGCTAAGATGTTTTTACTTTTTACTTTTCTCCTACTGAAGTGTGGTGGTAGGAACAGAGGAGCCCATACATGCCTTTGAGAGGCATTAGCAGCAGAAAGCTGGGATTTTCAAATGGAAGTTAGATGGTTAAGCACCTGAAATTGAAAATTTTTGTACATTTTCTGGAAAGAGATCCTGAGCTTTCTCATATTTCTTAGGGGTCCCTACACTTCAAAATATTGAGAACCACACAATTGAGAAAGGACAATATGCTTTTTTTTTTTTGCCGCATTGATTGGGGAAACATATCAGGCACATGTGTCTGTGTATGTGATTGTCCTGTGAGATCACAGGACACTCTAGGAATTTGTGAATTTCCTGACACCAGTATATTTATAAAAAAAAGTGCTCTTGGCAGAGGATGCAGTACTGGATTACCTCCAAAAGTTTCTTTATGTTCTCTGATTCTGAAATTTAAAATGAGTTAGCATCATTGATAATTGATTTTTTTTTTTTTTCTTACAGAATTTGCCATCTTCTGTAGTAGCTCATGTTCTGGATCCTCAACCTGGAGAGAGGATTTTAGATATGTGTGCAGCACCTGGAGGCAAAACAACACACATTGCAGCACTGATGCGTGACCAGGTGAGCCTCTCTTCACAGCGAAACTACTCTCAGCATATTACATATTTCGGTGATGAAAGTGGAACTACTCGTAACTTATGAAACAGCATACAGACATTCACAGTCTGATTTATTTCAGATTCAACCAAAGTGAAGACTGCTCAGTGATGTCCGTCATCACATATTAAGTTCAGTAGACAATTATCCCTTGTGAGGGCTATCTCAAGACCTCTCAAATTTGCTAGTGCATTTATAGAATTTTTTATTCATAAAATTAAATTTAAGAGAAACATTTAAAAGATCTTTACATGTTAATTAGAACACTTTTTAAACTATTAAAATAAATTTTCTGTTAAAAATTAATATGACAGTACATCTTTAAAGTGTCAAAATGCATATTGTTTATATATACATACATATATATATATACACACACACACACATATATATTTGAATATGTGTGCGCGTATTCTTATCTTGGGATTCAGAAAAATCTTATGATCTGGCTTAATGATAAAGCCTGTTTTTTGTCACAAAATATAGTATGTACGTCCTTGTATAACTTTAGCTCAGGTTTTACTGTTTTTTCTTACGGATATGTATTTGCCAGTGTATTTTCTTGCATTATGGGCTAGTTTTATCTGTATTCAAAACTCAGTGTGGCCTTGTAACCACTCTATGCTTCAACTAAGATTCTTCAACTCAGGAAGGGTATAGCCAGTTAATATTATCTTCCAATTTGTTTCAAATTCTGTAGAAACTAAATGGTTTCTAAAGTACTTCACCTACAATAGCTTCCTTGATCAGGAATCAGATTTTAAATGATTGGTTGGTTGATTAAATAAACAGTATTTACTATGTGCTAAATACTGGGGTTAGAGCAATAAGCCATAGTGACCAAAATTCTCTTCCTCATGGAGCTTACATTCCAGTAAGAAGAGACAGATAACAAATAAATGAATTAGAGATATGGCATATATGATGTGATAAGGCCTGTGATGAAAATGAAGGAGGATTAGGGGAATTGGAATTATCGAGAGGAGGGAGAGTGAGCTTGCAGTTTTAAATAGAGTGCTGAGGGGGAGCCACACTGTGAAGGTGGTATTTGAGGAAAGACTTAAAGGTGATGAGCGATATGGAGGTCTGTGGAAAGGATGTTCTAGTGAGAGGAAGTAGTAAGTGTAAATGCTCTGAGGTTGGAGGGTGCCTGACTTGCCTGAGGAACCTCTGCAGCTTTGCTAAGTGAGGAGGAGAGCAGGAGGAAAAGAGTGCAGAGAGGTAGGACAGGTGCGGAGCGGGGGCGCTGGAGAGAGCAGCTCCGCAGGGTCCGACAGGACTCCAGTTTTCCTCGCGTGATAGGAGGCCATTGGAGGTTTGAGCAGAAGAATGGCATAAGCCTGCCTATTATTTAAGGTATCGCTTTGGCCACTGCATTGAAAACAGGCTGTAAGAGGGCAAGGGCAGAAGCGGAGAGACCAGAATGGTACTTCAGGGAAAAGTCGTTGGAGGAGGTAAGAAGTGGTTAAATCCTGGATGTGTGTTTAAGGTGGAGCTGTTAGAAGTTGTTGATAGATTGGATGTTGGTTGTGAACATAAGAGAATACTCAAGGGTGACTCTTAAGGTTTTTGGACCGAAGAACTGGAGAGAGAGGTGTTGGACAGGGATGACTATGGGAGGATCAAGTTTTGCAGGGAAAAACCAGAAATTTAGTTTTGCATGTATTAAAGTCAGTATATTAAGACGTTCAAGAGATGACGTTGAGCAGGAAATTGGATATTTGAGTCTAGAGTCCAGGAGAGATGTCTGGATTGGAAATATACATTTGGAAGTCATCAACATATAGATAACATGTAAAGCCATAAACTGATGTGAGTGGCAATAGAAAGTAGAAGAGGCCAGAAGACGGGACTCATGGGTGCTGTGTGCTGACATTCAGTGAGCATAATGGCCAGTAGTGCAGGAAATAAACCAGGAGTATGGTACCCTGGAAGCCATGTGTAGACACGGATTGAAAGCCGATGGGAAGATCAGCTGTGTCACATGTTGCTAGGCCGTGTAAAAGGAGAACTGGGAGGGCCTACTGGATGAGCACCATGTAGGTGATTGGCGACTTCGTCATGAGCAGTTTTGGTGAGTGGAAATGCTTGCTTGCACTGAGAATGAGAGGAATCAAAGGAAGTGCCTCCTTTGGTGGTGGGGATTGTTTTCACAGGAGAGTGGAGCAATGGGGCAGTAGTTGGAGGCAAAGCAGGGAGGTTTTTTTTTTATTTGAGGGAAATAACAATGTTTGTATGCTAATGAGAAAGATATACATTAAAAGGGGAAATTGGTAACACCAGAGGGAACAGGGAAAATTGCAGGAACAATATCTCTGAGTAGGTGAGATGGGCTAGGAATTGATGCACAAGAGGTTTTAGATGGTAGCATGAGCGTTTATTCATGGAAATAAGAGGGAAGGCCGAGTACATGGGTGCAAGTGTCGGTGGGTTGGTAGACACGGTAAGAGACAGGAAGTTCTCTGCTAGTTCCAGTTTTCTCAGTGAAATAGGAAGCAAGGTCATCAGATGAGACGGGGGTGGGGGTGGGGGGAAGAGGAGGTGGTCACAGCTTTGAGAAGGTATGAATTATTAATCAAGGAAAATGGGCTATGAACACAGCATAAGAATTCCAGGTTGCGCTAAGGGCCCCGTGAATACAGTGGTCCTGAATTCAAAATAAGGTTAGCTGGGATAGCGATGTGCTGCTTTTCAGCTACATGAGGGTAAACGTGATGTTGGTGAAGAATTGTATTTAGCTGCAGCTGCATTTTTTGCCATGTTGAATGCAAGACACAGAAGCATGATAGTTGCGGATGTATATAAGAGAGTGTTCATGACGTGCTGCAGAATCTATGCTGGGTAAAGGGCATAGCAAGGACAGTAAAAGTGAGGACAGTGGATCTGTTCAGACTTTTCTAAATCAGCCCAGATTTACATAGTGGTAGTAATTCTTACACACCTGGCAAACTCAGCCGTTTTCTTTACGGTACTAATTTATAAAGAAAATATTACCTACTTGAGCTGTAAGACTTGGCTGGCATAGAAAACACCTCCACAGCGCTTAGCAAAGCCCTTCTACTCTAGCTGATTTACTTGGTAGAAGATATACTATCTGTGCTCCCAGAAGTAACTGATAATAGACTTGATCAGGTAATTCATTTATTTTTCATTTTCAATTACAGTTAGTATACAATATCATATTAGTTTCAGGTGTACAAATAGTGATTAGACATTTATATAATTTACATAGTGATCACCCCATTAAATCTATTACTCATCTGGTACCATACAGTTATTAAATATTATTGACTGTATTCCCTATGCTGTACTTTACATTCCAGTGACTTTTTATAACTGGTAATTTGTACATTTTAATCCCTTCACCTCTTTAACCACCCCTCAACCCTTTTCAGGCCACTGTTTCCTTGTTGATTTTCTGTCTGGATAATCTGTCAGTGTGGTGTTAAAAGTCCCCTACTATGACTGCACTACTGTCAATCTCTCCTTTTATGTCCATTAATATTTGCTTTATATATTTAGGTGCTCCTAAGTTGTGTGTGTAGATATTTACCAGAGTTATATCCTCTTTTTGGATTGAATCCTTTATCATTATGAAATGATGTTCTTTGTTGCTTGTTACAGTTGTTGTTTTAAAATCAATTTTGCCTAAGTATGCTCCCCCAGCTTTTTTAATTTTAATTTTCGTTTGCATGAAATATCTTTTTCCAGCTTTTGCTTTCAGTCTCTGTGTGTCTTTCCAAAGTTGGTTTCTTTCAGGCAGCATATATACAGGTCTTGCTTTTATTCACTCTACCACCCTGTCTTTAGATTGGAGCATTTAGTCCATTGACATTTAAAGTAATTATTGATAGGTATGTATTTAATGCCAATTTATTGTTTTCTGATTGTTTTTGTAGTTCTCTGTTCCTTTCTTTTTTCTTGCTCTCTTTCATGGTGATAGCGTTCTATTTTTGTGTTTGGATTTCTTTCTCTTTATTTCCTGTATATATCTGATAGATTTTTGGTTTGTGGTTACCACATGCTTCATATATACCAAGCTATGTTAACAGCAATCTATTTTAAATGGATAGTTTCTAAAGTTCAAACACATTCTAAACTCACTGCAATTTCTCCTCAGCCCCTCTGTGTTTGTTTTTGTCATTATTTTTTACTTAATTTGTGTTTGTTTTTCTTTCTTTATTGTTGTAATTATACATGGTCTGTGGTCTTTTTACTTTTGCCTTTTAACCTTTGTACTAACTTTATAGTTGGTAGATCCACTGCTTTTACTAAAAGTTTGCTTTTGTCAGTAAGAATTTTTTTTCTTTGCAATATTTTCTTATTAATATTTTTTAATCTTTTCTACTTAAAGAAGTCCTAATATTTCTTGTAATACTAGTTTAGTGGTGATAAACCCCTTCAGCTTTTTCTTTTCTGGAAAACTCTTTCTCTGTGTCAATTCCAAATGATAGCCTTACTGGTTAGAGTAATCTTGGTTATAGGTTTGAGCCTTTTATCACTTTGAATATTTCATGCCAATCCCCCCTGGCCTGCAAAATTTGGTTGAGAAATCAGCTGACAGTCTTATGGGAGCTCCCTTGTAGGCAACTAACTGCTTTTCTCTTGCTGGTTTTAAGATTCTCTTTTTGTCTTTAACCTTTTGCATTTTAGTGATGATGTCACTTGCTTTGGGCCTTTGGATTCATCTTGTTTGGGATTCTGTTCTCCCTGGACTTATATGTCTATTTCCTTTGCCAGGTTAGGGAACTTTTTAGTCATTACTTCTTCAAATAGGTTTTCAATCACTTTCTCTCCTCTTCTTCTTCTTCTTCTCCTTCTTCCCCCTATGATGTGAATGTTGGTATGCTTAGTGTTGTCCCAGAGGTCCCTTAAACTGTCCTCATTTTATTAAATTATTTTTTCTTTCTGTTGTTCTGGTTGGATGTTTTCCGCTGCTTTATCTTCCATATAGCTGATTCAGTTTTCTGGTTCATCTATTTGTTGATTTCCTCTAATGTATTCTTCATTTTAGTTATTGTATTCTTTATTTCTGACTGGCTCTTTTTTGTTTTCTATCTCCATTTTTATGTTTCCTATCTCTTTGTTAAAGGTCTCACTGAGTTCATCGAATACTGTTTCCCTAAGTTCATTGAGCATCCTTATAACCAGTGTTTGCAACTCTGCAACTGGTAGATTGATTGTCTCCATTGTGTTTAGTTCTTTTTCTGGAGCTTTGTCCCGTTCTTTCATTTGAGACACGCTTCTTTGTCCCCTCATTTTGGCTGACTCCTGTGTTTGTTTCTATGTATTAGGGAGATCTGCTATGTCTCCTGGTCTTGGCAGACAGGCCTTATGTACTGGTTGTCCTGTGGGATACAGTGGCACAGTCTCCCTGGTCACCTGAACTGGCTGCTCCAGGACCTTCACTTGTGTGTGTTGTGTGTGCCCGCCTATTGTAGTTGAGCATGAGTGCTCTTGGCACATCAGTGGGAGGCATTGACCCTCAGGCTGACTGGCTTTGAGGACTGGCTGCAACTATTGTGGATGAGCTATTGTGCAGGGGCAGACCCCATGGAGAAGGAGTTGCTTTAGTGGGGTTCTTGTGCCAGCTGAGTCAGCTGTGTTGTTTGTGCAGCTGGTTGGGTGATGCTCTGGTGTGATCTGAAGCCAGCCACTGGTTGTGTTGGTTCTAGAGCCTCTTGGGAGAGGCTCCGGTGCAGGCCAAGGTCAACCATCACTTGTACCAGGCTTGGACCTCTTGGTAGGAGCTACAAATTGACCTGTGATTGGTTGCTGCTTGTGCTGGGATTGGAGGCACTTGGGAGAGGCTATGCTGCAAACCAAGGCTCGCTGTCACTAGTGCCAGGCTTAGGGCCCACCTGATGGGAGTTCCAATGCAACTGAGATCATGGCTGCTTAACAAGAGCTACAGGACAGTGTGGCCAGCTTCTGCTTGTTTTGAGTTTGTCAACTTTTAAGAGACTTTGGTAAAGTCCACAGTGCAAGCTGAGGCAGGTTGCTTGTGTGGAGGAGCCATTGGAAAAAGCTTGAGTCCTGTGTGTGAGTTGGGTGGGGTGGGCTTTCAGGGAATCACCAGGCAAGGGTGAACTGTGTTAACCTGGTTAGTGGAGAGCACAGAATTGGTACCCTGTTGGTTGGGTGGGAGGAGCATGCAACAAAGGAACAATGGCTCCTAGCAGCATTTCAGACTCTAGAGAGAGCTGCCCTGACTCCTGCCCCTCCAGCCCTCACCCTGAAGATAATCAATTTATTCCTCCTCGTATATGTCTGGCGCTTTGCAAGCTACTGCCCCAGCACTGGAGTCCAGAGAAGTGAGTTTGTGAGTGAGTGAGTGAGTGAGTTCGTGTAGGGGACCCTTTCAGAGTCTGGGTCTCCAACAGCTCTCCATCTCACTCAGATGCAAACCAGTGGTTTTCACATCCAGATGTTATGGGGACTGCTCCCAGCACTGGTGCCTCGGCTGGGCAGCCAGCTGTGGATCTGGTACCCCTCATTCTTTAGTGCAGACTGCCACAGCCAAGATATCCCTCCTGATTCTTAATTACCACACCATGGGTGTGGGACCTGCCCATTCTGCATCTCTGCCCAACCTACCAGTCTCATTGTGGCTTCTTCTATATATCTTTAGTTATAGGACTTCTATTCAGCTAGTTTCAGGTGGTCCTCAATGATGGTTGTTTTATAATTTAGCTGTAATTTTGATGTGGTTGGGAGAGGAGGTGAGCACAGAGTTCACCTACTCCCCTGTCTTGACTGGAAGTCAATCCATTTTTTATGTATATTCGATGATTGTTAGGACGATGAAGTGATTAACAGCAATGCTATACAGAAAATAGTAGGAACATTTATTTTGTTGAGATGCAGCTGTAGCTTTTCACTTTCATTAGTGCAAAATTTAGTTATCCAAAGACTTCTGATGAAAATTCACATACTTACACATTAGTCTTTAACACTGTTAGAATTTCTGAAGCATTTAAATGTCACAGCAGGGGGATAAAACATATATAAATATAAAAATATCTTTTTAATAAATTCATTAAAGGGTTAAACCTATCTGTACTATATGCGTGTATACATATATATGCACTGTATATGTGTACTACGTATGCATGTACATATATGCACTCTGTAACCCTGTATATATTCATCACACACACATACTGTCTTGCAGTAGCACTAGGGTAACCTCAGTGAGTACCTTTAAGTAACTAAGAAAGATCTCCAATAGAAAAAGATATTTATTTAAAATTTTGGGAAACATACTCTTGGTTCATTAGAGGAGATACCGTGTTTCCCTGAAAATAAGACCTAGTCGGAGAATAAGCCCTAGCATGAGTCCTCCAAGATATGGAGGGCATGCACCCCTCACATGAGGGTTTTATGACCTGTTTCAGGGAGAAGGGTGCCTTCTCCATAAACTCTTTCAGCTTAAAATATTCAGTATGCCAAGGTGCCATGTTTTGGCACCTAAAATCATGCGAGGGCTTATTTTCTGGCTAGGTCTTATTTTCAGGGAAACAGGGTACTTGTCTGTTTACTTATATTCTTTTTCTAAAAAGAATTTGAGGTTGTATCAGTAAAAACTGTTAAAGGAAAAATATCAGCAGTAAAATGAAGAGCATTTAGTAGAAGGGTTTATTGTATGGAATTGTGGTGTTTAATGCAAATCATTTTATTTACCTGAAAGCTAAATGTAAAGATTATGATATGCTTTGAGGATATGATAATCCTCCCTTAATTTATAGTGTGATATTTACTGTGTGTGCTTAGAGGCGTTTATTCATAGATATTTCATTCTCTGGAGCAAGAAGTCTTTCCAGAGAGAGCCTGGATATTGTAGTCATTTCTGTGTTTTGTTGGTTTTATCCTGCTGGGTAGAAATGACCACAAAACCTTTGCAGCTACAACTAAACATGTGTTTAGCCCAGGAGTCTGGAATTCATCCAATCCCTGCTAGGCTTCCCCATGCTCCTGATCCTCTGCGGCTTAGCTAGGGGTTCTGATGCTCTTGGGCAGGCTTATTTACCTGGTGTTGGCTTATCTATAGTGACTTCAGGTGAGACCAGCGGGGTGCCCTGCCTCTGGTCCATGTAAGATCTCCTGCTAAGTAAGACCTGCTAAGTAAGACCAGGGGGCTAGCCTAGCTAAGGACAGTCCTTGAGAGTTGTCAGTGGCTGCAGGCAAAGCACAGCAAGGCCAACTGTTCAAGTGCTTTTCACGTCTCTTTGTATCACATTTACTCGCATTCCATTGGCCAGCACAAATGACATAGCTGAGCCTGAGTCGGAGTGGTGTGGTATTGCAAGGTAAATGGCAACGGGTGAGGATATGTGGAGAGTTGAGGATATGTGGAGTTAGGCAACCTGTGGCAATGGGTCTGCAATGGAACAATTTTTTTTATTATTTTGATTGTCGATTTATTTTGATTGGTAAACAAATGTTGTGTAAGTGTAGCCTTCCTGTCTGTACTTTTGGAAAAGCAGCTTCAGCCAGTGGATTTATTCCTTTACTGCAGTATATTTGAACTGTATTCTGGTTGTCTTTGTATTCTGGTTGAACTTTTCCAGTTCAACTCACTTGAAATGATTTTCCTGTTAGTCAAAGTATTAGTGGGAACTATGTCTGCTGTTAAACCTGGTGTCACATTTAGAAACAGTATCAGCAAATTCCTGGTATTCTAGTCTATGCCACTGATGCATATACCATACAAGGACATAGTATGCAAAAGAAACAAAAGCAAGAAAATACATTGAAGGGTGAATTTCATATGACAAGGGTTAATGTCATTTCATAGTATGTTTTAAAATATATGACTGTCACAATGCATTAATAAAAAATAGCCTCTTGTTTTATTGACTGACTGAATTGAGGTGTTATATAAAATTATTTTTGAACTTCTTTTTATACCAGTTCAGAACATTTTGCTGTGATATACAGGCTAATATTTTTTCTGTCTTTGTTGTCTGAATTCACATGAATTTTATGTGTATAGCTCAGAAAATATTGAGATGAGGATTGATTTTACAAGTAATATTTCTGTGTATCTCAAAGTACTAGAAGGCAGATGCTCTTTCAGAGGTGAGCAAGGCCTATCAAATGGGTGATTTTTAATATTTCCCTCCAATGGATGTTTTTAAATTTCACTAGAGGATTGCCAATTCTGTTTTTGGTTTTGAGTTTTATTGATTAAAGGTAGCTGGCCATTACAAGAAAATTATGTGGGAAATATGTGGGTTTTTTTTTTAAAGAAAAGAGTAAGTATTTTGATAAGTTCGATATACATTTGGTTAATGAATTCAGCTTTAAACTAGGGTAGGAAGAAAGTGGGGAAGACCATACTTTGTTTTTCTCAATAATTATCATGATTGCTTTGGATTTACACTTTATTATTATTTATTTACTTATTTTTTAGGGAGAAGTAATAGCACTGGATAAAGTAGCCAACAAAGTAAAAAAGATAAAGCAGAACGCTTTACTGTTGGGATTGAATTCCATCAGGGCTTTTTGCTTTGATGGAACAAAGGCTCTTAAACTTGATACGGTTAAGGGCATAGAAGGTGAGTTAAATTTTATCTTTCAAAGGTTTTTATAAGCAAGTAGATTTGCTATCATTATTCTAGCTCCAAAATATCCATAGGACCTTGAAGCTTTGACATGGATCGATAATAGGTAATATTTTTGCTTTTCATCTTATCCCTGAATATCAAGTTTTTAATGATGTAAGTCAAACCCCCAAAACTTGGTCAGACACTTTGTTCTTAACATATTTGTCTTAATTTCATTTTGCATCTCAGAACGTTCTAAGCCAGCGGTTCTCAACCTGTGGGTCGCGACCCCTTTTTGCGGGTCGAATGACCCTTTCACAGGGGTCGCCTAAGACCATTGGAAAACAAAAAGATACTTACATTACGATTCATAACAGTAGCAAAATTACAGTTATAGAGTAGCAACGAAAATAATTTTATGGTTGGGGGTCACCACATGAGGAACTGTATTAAGGGGTTGCGGCATTAGGAAGGTTGAGAACCGCTGTTCTAAGCCTTTCAATTTTATGATTCCTGAGTTGTTTTGCTTTTTTCCTTCATTTTTCTAGAGGAATGGGGCTTTGGAACTGGGAAGGGAGGAAAAACGGCCATGGATCTTGTTTTGAAATAAAATGTTGTGTTTGTTAAGTCACTCTGTTTCTATTTTTCTATCTCTGTCTCTTTGTTTCGATTTGATTTCATGAAATACTCAAGAAACTTCCATATTTTAATGAACTAGTTGGCATTGGTTTTCCCAGAATGTTTATTGATTAAAGTTGCTTTGGATTAAAGATGACTTTTAAAAAGCTGAGGACATGGTTTTGATTCCCCACACCCTTACAGATCATCTAGGTTGCCATTGTTAAAAAACAAAATTCAACTGTGTACGTTGGAGGATCTAATTGGTTGTATTAAGTGATTCATAAATTGGGCAACATCCCATCTAGCAACTAGAAGTGCTCTCTGAAGGGCTGTGCAAAATGAAATGTTTTTATAGGAGGAACTGTGGGGGCAAGGGAACTATAAACAAAAGAAAAGAAAGGATACCTTTTCTTGGGGGGCTGGGAGAATAGGAAGGGTTTTTATTATGCAGATCATCTCTTCTTCCCATGGGGGATAGAGAGGGCCCATGGGACAGGTTACCTTGCAGATGCTTGACCAGAGAGTTCCAGACTGGTTGACTAAGAAATTTATGGGAGAGGCTGAAGCTGCAGTTAGATCAGGTATTAAATCTCGGTTTATATCATGGGCTTTTAGCACCAAGTGACACAATTTTGGGCCTTCTCTCTTTAATATGTCGACAAAAAAAACAAACATCCAGTCTAAGAAAAAGCTTATAAGAGTTTATTTGTGCCAAACTGAAGACAATTGCCGGGAAGCAAAATCTCAACGGATTGAGAAAATGCTCCGGAAAATGGCAATTTTGCAATTTATTTTATGCATTAGAATCAAAGGAAGAGAGTTACATGAAATCGACAGGTGGTAGATTAATGGGGTGGGAGAAAGCAAAGCAGGGAAATCTCTGAGATTGGATAAAAAGTAAATTGGAGAGACAGTTATTCTTTTACACAGTATTGGGTACAGGATAGTTAATAGCATTTTACAGCACATAGAGATGCTAATCAAGGGATAACAACAATGAGGGATTTTGTAGTTTCCAGCTCTGGTGTGTGTGGGGGGGGTTGTGCCCTGGGGGGTCTGGAAAAAGGGATTACTCTGACATTCCAAGGGTTTGTTATCTTAGATGCAAAACAAAACAGTAGGCTCATTTAAAGTAAAGACTGACCTTTGTCAAGGAAGCTACAGTCCAAGGATGTGACTACCCTTCAGGACCAGCTTTTAGTTAGGGACTTTTATGTTCACACCATTCATTTTATGTGGTTAATATCCATCTCTGAGTTTGTAGAGCCTGCCATGCTGGCCTCCCCTGAGCTTGTCAGGTTTAGTACGTGGCCCCTTTTTTTAATCCACAAATGCCACAGAGAAAAAATTATTTGTAACCATTCTTTGTAGCTTACCTGTCTATAAGATGTTCGTAAAAATGACTAGTAGACAGTACACAGCTCAATATAATCCACAATTATCACTTTACTAAAATTGTTGTTAGGTCACCCCTTTTACATATCTTTGAATTAATTGACTGTATTTGCCTGCGTTTATTTCTGGGCTCTCTATTCTGTTCCATTGATCTGTGTGTCTGTTTTTATGCCAGCACCATGTTGTTTTGATTACCATAGCCTTGTAGTATAGTTTGATATCAGGTAGTATGATACCTCCAAATTTGTTCCTCTTTCTCAAGATTGCTGTGGCTATCCTGAGTCTTTTGTGGTTCCATATAAGTTTTAGGCTTATTCGTTGTAGTTCTGTGAAAAATGCCATTGGTATTTTGATAGGGATTGCGTTGAACCTATAGATTGCTTTGGGTAGTAAGGACATTTAAATGATGTTAATTCTTCCTCTCCATGAGCACAGTATACGAGTATACATCCAAAAGATACAGAATGCTATATGAGAAGTCAGCAGTGGTTACTTCTCATAAAAACAATAAAAAAAGAGTTTAGGGGAGGAGGTGGCATTTGTTGGGCCTTGAAAGGGTAGGTGGCATTTTGACAAATGGAAATGAGTGCAGGGGGCATCTCAGATACAGAGAATTAGCAGAGGCATAGAAATAGGAAAGTTCATGCATTTTGGGGTAACAAAGTGCTGTTCTTTTGTTGTTGTTTTTAACCTTGGTGAATATGGGGAGTAGAGAGATGCAGCTGGAGAAGTAGATGAGGCCAGATTGTTCTTTGTTAAGCGGTCTTTGTTACTCTAAGGAGTTTACTTCATAGTCTTAGGTAGCTGTGGAACTAATAATAGTTCGGGGTTTTATTTTGTCAGAGGAATGAATAACTTGTTGAGAGCTGTGTTATAGGGGAATTCAACTGGTACAGAATTAAAAATAAAACGATACAAGTATTTCAATAGAGAGAATGTAGTATAAAGAAATAGTGTAAGGAGTCAGTCAAATTAGGTGTTGGAGAGCTGGAAAAGCAAAAGAGATCACCGAGGAAACCTAGAGCTAAGACCTGCAGAAAGCAGCTCCCGCCCCTGTGGCCGGAGAAACAAAGGGAGGAGCTTCACTCATCTGCACCAAAAAGCTTAGGGGAGAGGCTCCCGGAGCAGGCATTCAGAGCTCTAAGGCGGGAGCTGCTCCCCAGCTGCTGCCGGCTCCTGTCCCTGAGGACTCAGAGCAGGCGGCGTCCTGGAGCTGGGACAGGCTTCTGAGGGAGGACTTCTGTCCACTCCATACTGACACCTAATGGGCAAAGCTGGAAACTGCAGCTGCCAAAGTAAAGGGCTGTGGCTGGATGCTCTTGACAGGAACAGCAAGCAAATGGGAACATTGTCTACCCCTCTTGCCTTTCATCCCTCCTCCCCCAGTCACTCCTCTGCCTCCTCTTTGTGAATCTTGAAAGGAAGCCAGCAAGCAAGGGAGAACTGTAGTTCATACTTCCCACCTCAGCATCACACAGCAGAGTGGAGAAGGGTAGATTGGGAACTCAGAAAGTATAGCTTAATAACTACTAGCATATTTGGAGCAAAACAAAAGCCCTTGAAATAGGTCCCGATATATACAAGAATGTAGTATATGATAAAAGAAGTATTTAAAACCTGGAGGAAAGAATAAATCAGTAGTAGGTGAGAAAAATTTTTGGAGGGTGGAGGAGGGGGGATAGACGAAGGAGTTTACTATAAAGAATTTAGCCATGAAAATAACTAGAAGCAGCTATAGAGGAACGCTTATCTGATTGCAAAGTGAGGAAGATTTTAAAGCATGAAAGCAAAGGTGGAACTCAAGGAAAAGGATATATTTAATATTTAACAATTATATATGTAAAAATAAAACCCAAAACTAATGCAAATGACAAATTGTGGGAAACATCTGTAAAATGTTTAATAGAGGAGAGACTAATATCCTTAACATACAAAGCTCTTCTAATTAATAAGAAAAAACAATCTCAGAGGAAAAAGGGCAAAAACAAACAATGTGACCATAAAAAGATAGAAATACAAATGGCCAATAAAGTAATTATCAACTTTGATTAGGATTTGGGGAAAACAAACACACTCATGATAATGGAAGTATAAATTTGTATAGTCTTTTAAGAGGATGTTTTTCAGTATGTAGTAAAAACAGTCATTGCTTACATTGAGAAGATATTCCTTCTGAGACAGTAGGTAAGGAAAGCAAGATGGTGATAGATGGAGATGAGTTAAATCGTAAGAGCTTGTGTCTGACAGTTTTGCAACCAGAGAAAAGCAGAGATTATCTTGGTGTGAGATTCAGAACATTGTTTGAGTACTGCAAGAAATCAACTAGCTTTATACACAAGCAGTCAACACCAATTATCTTGCTTACAGTTAGATAGCATAAATATATAAGCAGACTGTTTGGTTTCACGACTTTGTCCAGTAACACTAAATAGATCAGAAGTTGGTGTGGGGAAGATTGTTGAGGTGACTGCAAAGGGAAACCTGTGGAAGGTTGGACCCAGAGCCTTGCTGACCCACAGAAGCCAGGAGACTGAGGAACCACAGACCCATCGACTAGAACTGGACAGCTGCTCTCTTTTCCTGGGGCTGCATGTGGTAGATTCCCAAGGGAGGTGTCAGCTCTCAGAATGACTGGAATTCATTCCAGGTCCTTGCTCTGATGAATTTTGGCTTCTGACATTAGGAATACAAGATCTCGTTTGATGAGGCCTTGGTTTGCACTATCTCAATAGGATAATCCTCAACTATAATAATCCCATTTTTAACGTTTTTTTTAAAGTCAGATCTATATTAAATTTAAGTCCGAATTAGTTTCCCAGCTACTTGATTGAAGGAAGAATTGTTTTCTGTACTTTCTATTCCAGATTATGATTTTAAATTCCTGATTGCTGCTCTGGGTCAGGAGTTTTTTACTGTACACTGGTAAGGCAGATAGCAAATATGTTTATCATTCTCTTTTTAGGAGAGCCTCCATTCTTACCAGAATCTTTTGACCGAATTCTTCTTGATGCACCCTGCAGTGGAATGGGACAGAGACCAAACATGGCTTGTGCTTGGACTTTGAAGGAAGTGACATCGTATCAACCATTACAGAGGAAACTCTTTACTGTGGTATGTGATGATAGTTTGCTGTGAAAGAAAGTTGGCCTTCATTAGTTTTATGTTTAAAAAAGACTAAGAGCAGTGTTCATAGCATTATTCATAATAACCAAAATGCAGAAACAACTCAAGTGTCCATCAACGGATAAATGAATAAATGAAATAAGGTACATGCATACAGTGGACTGTTATTCAGCCTGAGAAAGGAATGAAATTCTGACACATGCTACAATGTGGATGGGCTTTGAAAACATTATGCTAAGTGATACAAGCCAGACACAAAAAGATAACATTGTAGGATTCCATTTATATACAGTAACTAGAAGAGGCAAATTCATAGAGACTAGAGGTTGTCAGGGGCTGGAGATGTGAAAAAATGGGGAGTTACTGTTTAGTAATGGATACAGAGTTCCAGTTTGGGACGATGAAAATCTGGATATGGATGATGGTGATGGTTGTCCAACAATGTGAATGTACTTAGTGCCACTGAATTGACACTTAAACATGGTTAAAGCGGTAAACTTGTTATGTATATTTTACCTCACAAAAAAGGACAGAGAAGACCTAGTGTTAAATACAGAGAGGTTTCCTTTATGTTGACTCACTCTTTCATTACAGGCAGTAGTACAACTTCTTCACCGAGATGCAATGAATTTCAAAGATTCTGCTTTATCTTTAAAATGTCACTGGACTGTTTACTAGTTGATGTAAAGAATTATATATAAAACAAATTACTCTCTTTAATAGGGTTTCTGGATTATCTTAGCAAATTAAAAGTGGGAAGTCCAGTTATATAAATCTCTAATCACCATGTTGTACAACTAAAACTAATAAAATATTGTATGTCAACTGTAATTGAAAAAAAAATTTTTTTTGAATGGGAAGTAACTGTCCAGTATAGGACTGAGAAGAATCATAAAAACTTTGCAAATTTAACTGGTCTCCAGTATGTTTTAGTAGAAGCCTAGATAGAATATTTGAGGATTTCTCTCAGTCATGCAAAAATGATACAGTAGATTTCATAGAATGTATACACCTTTTGATCAAGAATTATTTCAGTATTTTCTCTCAGGCTTTAATTATAAACACATAGGCTACAGCAATAACAGATGTAATATTAGTCAATCTCTAAAGTTGCCTTTGAGCACATTTCTAGTCATCTCTTCTGGAGTCTCCTTTCGTACACAAAGGTGGCACTGGTAGTGGATTATTGAACTTTTTCTTCATCCACACAGTTTGTGAAGAACGCGTCCTGGGAATTCAAATAGCAAGCAGCGTAAGAGAAGCTTTACTTACAGTTGAAACCTACTTTGACTTGCGGATAAAATTAAGACACCAGACTTTCTTTTCTAGGCAATGGCAAAAAGAAAATTCAAAAAGGCTACTTAGGGTGTATTATCTCAGTGTGAGAGAGAATTGAGAATATGCCATCTGGCAAGGACAGAAATTGATTGAGAATGTGGACTTTAGAATCAGACACATCTTTTTTATTAATTTATTTTCCTATTACAGTTGACATAGTGTTATATTAGTTTGGGGTGTACAACATAGTGATTAGACATTTATATAACTTATAAAGTGATCACCCCGTTAAGTCTAGTACCCATCTGACCCCATACATAGTTAATACAATATTATTAACTATATTCCTTATGCTATACCCTACATCCCCATGATGACTTTGTAACTACCAATTTGTACTTCTTAATCTCTTCACCTTTTTCATTTGGCTCCCAAACCCCCTCCCATCTGGCAACCATCAAGTTTTTCTCTATATCTATGAGTTTGTTTGTTTTGTTCGTTTATGTTGTTTTTTACTTTCCACATAAAAGTGAAATCCTATGGTTTTTGCCTTCCTATGTTTGACTTATTTTACTTAGCATAACACCTTTTAGGCTCATCCATGTTCACAAATGGTAAGATTTCATTCTTTTTTGTGGCCGAGTAATATTCCAGTGTATACGAGTATATCACATCTCACATCTTCTTTATCTAATCGTCTATCCATGGACACTTAGGTGCCTCCATATTTTTACTATTGTAAATAATACTGCATTGAACATAGGGGAGCATATATGTTTTCGATTTAGTGTTTTGGATATCTTTGAATAAACACCCAGAAGTGGAATTGCTGGGTCTTACGGTACTTCTAATTTTTTTTTTTTTTTAAAGATTTCATTGGGAAATTCGGGGAGGGGAACAGAGTTGGGGAATCGGGGAAGGGGAACAGACAAGTTGCTGTACTTTTGTTCAGTCTAGTTGTGGAGGACATTGCTTCACTGGCCCATGTTGGTATTATCATTGCGCTCTTCCCGGGTGAGGCAGATTGGTCGCCGGCCCCTGGACAGCTGCTCACAGTGGTTCTTGGCAGCTCACGCTGGCTGCCGGCCACACACGGTAGCTTATGGCAGCCCCACTGCAGCTCCACTGCAGCCTACCCCGTCGCCAGCAACTCATGGCAGCCCAGCTCCAGGTCGAGCCTGTTGTTCACCATCTTAGCTGTAGAGGGCACTGCGTCACTGGCCCAAATGTGGGATCTGAACCGGGGCCCTGCTGCTCAGAGCTGGCGTCCCAAGCCAGCTCTTAACCAATGCGCCACTCGGCCAGCCTCTGGTACTTCTATTTTTAATTTTTTGAGGAACCTCCATATTGTTTTCCATATAATTTTCCTTTTTTGTAGTGTCTTTGTCTTATTTTGCTATCAAGGTAATCCAGGCCTTATAAAATGAGTGCTTCGGAGCCTTCCCTCCTGTTTACTGTTTGGAATAGTTTGTGAAAGATAGTTACTCTTTTTTGAACGTTTGGTGAAATTCACCTGTGAAGCCATATGGTCCAGGACTTCTGCTTGTTGGCAGTTTTTTTATTACTTATTTGATTTTGTTATTAGTTGTCGGTCTGTTCAGATTTTGTTTTGCTTCCTGATTCAGTCTTGGAAGATTGTAATCTTTATAGAAATTTGTCCATTTTTTCCAGGTTGTCCAATTTGTTGGCATATATAATTGTTCATAGCATTTTCTTATAATTCTTTGTATTTCTGTGGTATTGGTTGTCACTTCTCTTTCATTTCTCATTTTATTTGGAACTTCTTTCCTTTTTCTTGATGAATTTGGTGAAAGGTTTATTAATTTTGTTTATTTTTAAAAAGAACCAGCCTTTGGTTTCATTGATCTTTTCTGTGGGGTTTTTTTTAGACTCTATTGTGTTTATTTCCACCCCGATCTTTATTATTTCCTTCCTTTTACTCACCTTGAGCTTTGTTTCTTCTCTTCTAATTCCTATAGGTGTAAGGTTAGATTATTTATTTGAGATTTTTCTTGTTTCTTGAGTAAGGCCAGAATGAGGCACATCTTGGAGTCATGCATCCCCCCAAAAGTGACTTTGGGTTCACTGGCTCCATATCTGAAAAATGGGGACAATAACTCTACCTAATAGGGTTATCTCACTTGAGATAGCAACCATACCTCATAGTTATTATAAGGATTTATTGGGGAAAATCCATGTAAAGTGCTTAAAATAATATCTGCTATGCAGTAACAAAGTTTGAATATATTATGTATTTTAAAATAATTTCATTAAAATTTTAAAAGGATAAACTTTAATTATTTGGGACAAATTCATTTTTATATAACGCCTTATTTCCTGATTCATTTATTTACTGGACAACACTGAACACATACTATTGGGTTGTCGGAAAAATCATGATGCATGTTGGCAACAGAAGGCACTAGTTCATTTTTGGAAGTACTAGAGTCATTTGCATCTTTGTTATTGCTTTGTCATTTGACAGCTGACAGTTCTAGCTTCATTCTAAAAAAGAACGATTTGGTTGAGTTTTGGAGATTTTACAACAAGTTGAAGATGGAAGATCGAACTGTGCATTTTTGCCATATTTTACTGTTTTACTTCCATAAAGGGCAGAACGCGTGTCAAGCTTGTGAAAAGTTGTGTAAAGTTTATGGTGACAATGCTCTACAAGAACGTCAGTACCAACAATGGTTCACGAAATTCCATGCTGGTGATTTTGATCTCAACGACGCTCCTCGGTCAGGGAGGCCAACCGAGGTTGATGACGACAAAATAAAGGCATTGATCGAGTCAACCCACGTTACACGACACAAGAAATTGCAGAAACATTGAACATTCAGGTGGTTCACAACCATCTGAAGAAGCTGGGATACGTAAGCAAGCTCCATATTTGGGTTCCTCATGAACTCAAAGAAGTTCATTTGATGGCGCATATAAACACCTGCAATATGCTCATTAATTGTGAGGAAAATGATCCATCTTTTTTTTTTTTTTTTTTTTTTGCTGAGCCATCCTGCCACCTGTTGGTAGCTCAGCGGCAACTCAGCTCGGGCTGGACTCGAACCGCTGTTGCTCAGAGCTCAAACCCTTGAGCGAGCTCTTAACTAACTGAGCCACTCGGCCGGCCCAAAAAATGATCCTTTTTTGAAGCGACTGATAACTGGTTGTGAGAAGTGGATTGTTTACAACAATGTGGTGCACAAACGGCCTTGGTCCCAACAGGATGATTTGCCTCAAACGACATCGAAAGCAGACATTCATCAGAGGAAGGTTATGCTCTCAGTGTGGTGGGATTTTAAAGGTGTTGTGTTTTTTAAGCTCCTACCAAGGAACCAAACAATCAACTTGAATGTGAACTGTTGGAAGTTGGACAGTTTGAATGAATCCATCATCTAGAAACATCCAGAGCTAGTTAATTGTAAAAGAGTTGTGTTCTATCGCGACAACGCAAGACCACACACAAGTTTGATCACCTGTCAAAAATTACTGGAGCTTGGATGGGATGTGTTGCCACATCCACCATACTTGCCTGACCTTGTGCCGTCAGACTTCCACTTGTTTTGCTCCCTTCAAAACTCCTTGCGTGGTATAACGTTTAATTCAGATGAGGCTGTAAATCAGCACCTTGTTCAGTTTTTCTCAAATAAAGACAGGTCCTTCTATGAAGGAGGAATTATGAAGCTCACTGAAAGATGGCAAAAGGTTATCGAACAAAACGGGCAATATATCATTGATTGATTTTTGTTGTTTATATAAATAAATGATCTTTGAAAAACATAGACAAGATGCGTCATGACTTTTCTGACAACCCAGTATATGTAATACACTGTTAAGTGTTGACAGTACAGTAATGAAAAATTACAGTCCCTGCCCTTACTCATGGGGTTTCTGTTCTGACTGGGGAGGAAAACTAACAAATAGACAAGTTATTTAGTTTATTAGAAGGCAGTCATCCTGTGAAGCACTAAGGAATGGGAGGAAGAATAGGAGTGCTGGATTGGAATAGTTGCAGTTTTACCTAGGGTGCTCAGCCAGGGCATCAATGGAAAGGTGACATATAAGCAAAGGTAAGAAAATTGGGGAGGAGCAAGCATGGCAGAATATTAGAAGAGGTTTCCCAGCTTGTGTCCAGGTCCTGTGGGGGTGTGTGCCATGTGTACACAGAACAGCTTAGGCCAGTGTTGTTACAGCAAAGTGAGCAGGTGTTCAAGGTGAGGTCAGAAAGGCCAGGGGCCTGCTTCATGTGGGGCCTCGAAAGCCAGCGTCAGGGCTTCAGGGGTTGGGCTTTGACTCCAGTGATGATAAAGGGCATTTGAAGGGCTTTGAGCTAAGAAGTGATAAGTTTTTAAAGTACTGCTCTGGCTGCTGTATGGAATAGATTATAGGGTGGCGGGGAGAAGCAGGTGGACTATGTCAGAGACTGTTGCAATTATCCAGGCAGAAGATCATGAGGCTTGGACCAGAAGACAGCAGTGCAAGTAGTGAGAAGTACTAAATTCTGAGCATATTTTAAAGGTGAAGACAGTGGGATTTGCTGATGTACTGTGATAAAGGATAAAGGAAGAGAGGAACGTGATAAAGGATAACCTAAGGGCCTGAGCAACCGGGATGGAAATAACTGCTGCAATAGGTTTCAGAGGGAAGCTAGTGGTTCAGTTGGGGACATGTCAAATTCCATAGTAGAAATATTGAGAAGGCAATTGAATGTGTAAGTATGGAATTCACAAAGAAGTCTGGCCTAAAAATGTAAATTTGGTATCTGAAGTGGTGAAACTGAATGAGCACGTTTGGGAAAGTCTTGGTGCAAATGGACTATAAAAGCCCCAAAATAATGAAATGTATCTAGCCTGGAACATGTCATTAGGAAAGACTCCTGGTCATACAGAACATCATTTTATTTATGGCAGATTCTTGAAAGGTAGCATAGAGACGTAAAATTCCTTACAATGATGATTTGGCCTTGTGGTACGCATAGCCTGATCCCCTTTTCTTCAGGCAGTGAAGCTGCTGAAGCCGGGGGGTGTGCTGGTTTATAGCACGTGCACCATCACACTGGCAGAAAATGAAGAGCAGGTGGCCTGGGCCCTCACAGCGTTCCCTTGCCTTCAGCTTCAGCCCCAGGTAAGGACCATTTCCGTTTCCTCAGTGTAACCTGAGTAAGTCACAAACATAAGCGTGGTGATCAATGCAGGCTGTCCTATGAAGACATGTGTCAGGTAAAACGTCTGAAGCAAATACTGCCATAAACAGGGCTTCTCACTGAACCCACTGTAGACTGCCCGTAGAGAATGTCACACCCTGACAGTCTCGCCCTGTGTTCACTCCTTGCCATTGTGCTAATGTGCTCCAGTGCTCAGGTGTGTTTTTGTCAGAGGTTTCTTTCTCTTGTGGCTCTTGTTTTCGTTTCTAAGCAGTCTCTCTACCCCTCCCAGTCTTAGACTGTCTGGATAAGGAAAATGTGGAGCATTTTTTCCCATGTGACATCAAAGCCCAAACAGGCTTTAAAATAACTGGGATAGCAAAAGTCTAGCCAAGGGAGTAGGGAATTGTTTCAGGATTATTGCTCCTTTATGGTTTCTTATATAAATTACGTAACATTCAGAAAACTTTCTTGCACTTCATTATATGTGTTTCCCCGAAAATAAGACCGGGTCTTGTATTTATTTTTGCTCCAACAGTCTACATTCATTTATTCATGCACAAAAATCTGCATTTATTCAAACAGTCATGTCTGGCTGACGATCTTAACTGGGTCTTATGTTTGGGGTAGGGCTTATATTACGAACATCTGAAAAATCATGCTAGGGCTTATTTTCCAGTTAGGTCTTATTTTTGGGGAAACACAGTAGCACTGTCTTTCTGTTACGGTTTTTACTGAAAACATGTTCATAATAGATATTTTTAGCATATGATGTTTGAGATTAAGCTTAAATCTAATAATGCTCACATGCACTAATATACATTGAACATGTAACTTTAATACCTTCTAGTATAGAATTATAGTAGGTAAAGGAATATAGAAATGAAAAGCAATCAGGAGATGGTTTCTAGATGTAGGAATTAATATAATTACATTGTCAATGAAAGGAAGACTTGTGAATTCACTTGGAATTTTGTTTGTATATATACACATACAATCATTATACATCTAATGGAGATAGAATTTCTTCCCCCATGGGTTAATTAACAGGTTTTCAGACATAGACCTAAGAAAATATAACACATATACATTTGTGAATTGGGAACTTAAACCAGGGTTGTGAATCTTCTTTTTTTTTTTTTTTTAAGATTTTTATTGGGGAATTGGGATGGGAACAGTGCTGGGGAATTGGGGGAAGGGGAACAGACAAGTTGCTGTCATTTTTGGTCTTCAGTCTAGTTGTGGAGGACGTTGCTTCACTGGCCCAAGTTGGCACCATCATTGCGCTCTTCCCGGGCGAGGCAGATCAGTCGCCGGCTTCTGGACGGCCACTCACGCTGGCTGCTGGCCACACACGGTAACCCATGGCAACCCACTGCCACAGGGGCTGCAGCCTACGCCGTCGCCGGCGACTCACAGCAGCCCAGCTCCAGGTTGAGCTGTTGTTCAGCATCTTAGCTGTGGAGGGCAGTGTCACGGGCCCTCATATGTGGGATCCGAACCGGGGCCCTCTGGCGTCCCAAGCCAGTTCTTAACCATCGCGTCACTCGGCTGGCCCGGGTTGTGAATCTTTTGTAGTAGTGGTCTGAAAGTATCACTCAATTCCCTACGATTCTAAATTCCTTAGTATTCCTCTAAACTAATTGATGCAGCCTAAATTGATTTCTTTTTCTAATATTCTAGTGCATGTAAAAGCAGTAACAAAAACCTTCTTATTATCCAATTGGTATGAGTCAGAGGCATCTTTAGAGGGCAAAGGAATTCCTGTCAGTTTGAGGGAGTCTGATAAGTAAAGCTGAATTTTTATCTATTGCTGTTACTGATAAATGTTCTGTTTATTGAGGACCACCTGCCTCTATATGCCACTCATGATACCACCTTTATTTAAGCCTCACAACTGAGTATTTTATCTATTTTATAGATGAGGAAACAAGAGTTAGGTGAAGTTACTTGCTTAAGGTCACACAGCTAAAATATGGCAGAACTGCGATTTGAATCGTGTATTTTCAACTATGAAGCTTAGGCATTTTGCAGCGTCAAAGTATTTGATAAGCATATGAGCTATTATAGGTACTCACTCTTCAGCTGACCGTATCATTACTGCTTTCCCACGTTACTACCTGGAAAAACAGTATGTACAGTCTATAAAAATAAAAGGTATTTACTCATTTCTTCTATTTTTGGAACTTGTAATATACAACCCAGTTTATCTTTTAACTTAAATTGTGCACAGGCACACTTACTGATTGTAGGATGTTCATCCATGTTTATTCCTTTCCTCCAAAACAGGAACCACAGATTGGAGGAGAAGGAATGATGGGAGCTAGCCTGTCATTTGAACAGTTGAAACTGCTGCAGCGATTTGATCCATCTGTTGTGGCATTGCCGGACACGGACTTTGATTCTCTTAGAGATGCCAGAGTGGAAGACATGATTAGGCTGGCAAATCAGGATTGTATAGGTTTTTTTATCGCAAAATTCTTAAAATGCAAAAGCACACAGGAGACGGATCCTTAGAAATGAAAATTCCAAACATTTTGTGTGTGTGTGCATGCACCCTTTAATTTAAAAACCAAACTGCTGTCAGGCCAAGTGATTGATGGCGTGGTTGCTAAGGAAACAGAAAAGGTTGCCAGTGGTTTAACCAGGGGTCAAGAGTCACAGAGGAAGTAATCGGGGTGGTATGAGATTATAAATTTAAAATAATTTTTTCTTTATGGATTTAGCAGAATATAAAGAAAAGTAGATTTCTATAGATATCTGGAACATATTTTCATTTGGGGTCTTGTGTTTTAATTTGTAAAGAATGCAAGTCACTTTTAATGTTAATTGGTGAATCTAACGAAAGGAATAAAATTAACAATATTTAATTTGGTTATAAAAATTACTTGTTTTCCATTTCTGAGTGCCTAAGGAGTAGTTCCTTAAGAACTCTGGCCATGGGAAGTATGACATTTACCATGTGCCAGTCACCAAGCTGAGTATTTTACCTCTTTTTCTGCTTACTATTTGGTAAGTAAACGCTCTTTCAAATGAAGTCTGCACCTCTGCCTTTACTGTTTTCTTCATGGTTTTGAACTAAAAAGTAAAATGAATATTTTCTTCACTTGGTACATTAAAAAAATGAGAATATTCCACAATTTGGATACCTTTTATCATCTATTGGAACACATACCATACAAGTGGTTAGAGACGTGATTGGTGAGACAGAGGTAAACAGCTTCTAACTGGGAACTGTTCCATACTTACAGGTATGCCTTGCTCTCCTGCTGAACAGAATGGCCCAGAATACCAACATTGGACAAGGCTACTGTGACTATGATAGATCAAGACACAAAAAGACCACCTCATAATCCAATCTGAATTTAGATGAAAACAAGAACATCATCCAAATCACAAAAGTGACCAAACATCCCCCTGTAGTGGCCAATGTAAGTGACTAAATTTTCTTTTTAAATCAATTATCACCTTAACACTTGCTTCATCCTTCCTGTTTTTTAGATAAGATTTGTTTAAATACCCAACACCCAGCCCTAGTTTAAAGGCCGTCTCATGTAGAGTTTTGTACATCTGTTCTTGTTAACTTTCATTTAAATCACCCCAAAATTCCTGAGCCTTGGGCATGTAAAGTGGACAGTTGGAAATAGTTGCCTAATAATTTCTCTCCCTTGGCCCCATAGGTTTTCATTAGGAATGTCTTGTAACTATTTATTGTCTCTATCAAGATTGCAAGGCCTTCTGGATCAGGTAAGACCTTTAGATTGGCCTCATCGTGGAAGAGGCCTGTCTTGAGCACCCTTGCCTGAGATTAGGTTTGACATTTTTCTGTATAACCCTAGGACTCACATCTGCTACTATGGCACACTTTGAACACACTCACCCCAATTTCCTAGGCATGCCCCTCGCTCTCCTGGAGGCAGGGACTCTGACTTTTCTGTCACTGGTTCAGAGCAGATCGCCACTAAAATGCTTATTGAATGAGGGAGAAAATATTTCAAGCTCTGTAAGATTCAAATAGGTGACTGACTTTTTTACATCCCTCCTTCTGCCTTATATCCAGTAGATGTCACTTGACTAAAGAGAAATACTGTTTACCTGTGGCACTTCTGTTTCTAGGGCTCAGCATACTTTAAATATATATATTTTTTTAAATCTACAAAATCCATTTCCTCTCATGCTCTCAACAAAGCCTTATGTGCTAAGCTGGGATGAAAATGGTAGAGAATTAGCCTAACAGCAAACATGTAAATTTTTTATGAATAGTGACATATCAAAATATAAGCAATACAGGCTAAATAGAAGAAAAATATTTGCATATTAAAAACAGCAAGGACAAATAATATTTTAAATTTTTTTCCTTTAACATACACATTTTTAGTGGCTTCTTTCCTTTGAAAAAATAAAGCAAATTGAAAAATAAAACACATTCAATCTTAAAGACACTTAAGAAAATACCATAAAAAGGAAAAAAGATCAGGAAAATGTGGAAGAAAATTAATATATTATCTTTTAACATATTTAGTGTTGACAGATATTTATGTGGAACAGAAAAAGCATTTTAATTCAACAGTGAGTACATTTTACTTCAAAACCCTGTATCACATTTTAGTTTAAATAGCAAAGTGAAATACAAATAGTTAAAAATATAATTTAGCAGAAATGAACCAAATGACCCAAAACCTTCTAGTTCCCTTTTTTCTCTAACAGTGTGACTCCTGAAAAGTGTCCAAGACTAGCAGCATTACATCACTGAGCAAAGGGACAAGGGTGAAGAATTAAATTGGGCATCAAGATGGATCTTCATTTCTAAAAATGAAAGAAGAATAAAATTCATAATCTGGATCAGTTGCTGCACATGTAGAATTCAGGTGGAAAAAAATTATTCTGTGCTAATATCTTAAAAGATCCTTTACCTACTGTAAGCTACTATTTTATCAGACATAATGGGACAATCACTAAAGTAACATCAGTGATTGGCATTGTCCCCGAGAAAGATGCTCCACAAATGAGAAGTGTTGTTGAATATTTAACATATTCTTAACTATCAGAATTATTCCTAAGATTGCAATTGATACTACTAGTAATAAACAGTGCAGAAGCCAGCTCTTTGTTTTATATGAATGACTTGAAACCAGGCTTGTTGAACAGTTCCGTGTAGCTGACAGCAAATATTTAACAGGAATGCATAGCAGACCATGTTAAAATGTGGCATTGTCCCCAAATACAATATGACTAAGACACCCTACATTTAGCAGCACCTTTTTGTAACAGTAACTTAAATGAGCAGTGGAGAAAAAGCATAGGAAAAACTGAAATGGTTTTGACAAAAAAACAGTAGAGCTATTAAGAACATTTCCAGCACTTTCTAGGTTAACTACAAAAATCATGATTCTGCAACTGAGTCAGTTAAGATCAAGCCTTCACTGTATGAAAAGACTAATTTTACATTCCACAAGTCAGTACATACCCCATTGTCCCTGGGATTATTTCTCATTGACAGATTTAGTACACACCGTTTATAGATATGCCCGCTGTACAGTTTTCATGTATAGGTGGTCTTATGTCAAATCCTGCAATACAGTTTTTTGAGGAATACTATACTCTGATTTGGACTGATATGTTTCACAGCAAAGTGAAACACGAAGAATCCAGGTACAGAATTTAAAAAATGGAATCCATTAGCACAACTTTTTGAAGGGGATTAATGGTAGCAGCAGGTGAGATAAATACCAGTTATGCTTCAAGAATTTAAGTATTCTGAAGTCGCTATTGGGATGAAATTAGATATAGTAAAGGATGAGGCTGGTTGTCAGCGACATCTTACTGTGATGGAACGTTTATCAGAAATATTTTATAAAAGCAGCCTTAACTGGAATATGGATTTCCAATGATGTGACTGTTTTGCATCAATTTATATATTATGACTATAGTTTTTATATTCAATAACTAAACTCATGTCAATATTATGGAGCTGATTAACAAATGCATTGATTCTGAGGGAAACATTTCATATTAGCTGATAACAACACTCTACACGTAACTAATTTTTAAAACTCTGAGCTGAGCTTTCTTGGGAGTAGGGAAATAAGGAGTTAAAAGTGAAACAGTTTTACTTATAAAGGTCCAAGGACATTTGGCAAGAACCTGGAATAATCAAAGGAGCTAAACAAAAGGTAGATTAACGTATTTAACAAAATAACAGTAATTACATAATGTACAAATCTGAAATCAGGCAATTATAGATAGGCATTTTCCAGGGACAAACTTCAAATGCTAGGTAATTGCACACCTAATACTGTCTTACCTGCCCAGCCGTAATTGGACCAAGTGGACACTTGAGAGACACGGAAAGGTTTTAGCCTTAGTGTGACAACCACATTGTGAGCTGCTTACAGCAATGGGGACATGTGTCTTCAGGCCTCCCCTTCAGAGTAGATGTCAGATGTAGGAAAATATTCTTAACGTTCTGTTCACTGCAGGTCACCCCATTTGCCCTGATTACTTCTGAAGAACAGAAACTTTGGTTATAAGAAGCACTTCTAGGTTTTGACAGACAGGGAAACTGTTCAAGTTGGGGGTGGGGTGGGGAGGGGATGGAATGATAGGTAAAACTGGGAGATCACTGGGACAATAGGCAGGGTAAGAAAAGGAAGTGGGAGAAGTTAGAAAAATTTATTTTCCCACGAAATAATTCTACAAGCTGTGTAAACGTTTCTTACTAGAACAAATACTCGAACACACGGAGATTGTACATTTCCAGTGAAACACTCACAGTTAAAAGTTGCCTGTATTTTTTTTTACTCTCTAGGAGCAAAAACAAGGAGCCAGCAGATGAACGTTTTCCCAGTCACCTTTGGCAGCACGCTCCCTGACTGCTCAACGGATCATTAAAGCAACACGCAGCACAATTCAGTACAAAGCCAGGTGGGTCGAATTCCGGATATCAGTCTCTAGTTTCTTCGTTCGTCGTCAGCATTCAGATGCATCTCAGACAGTCACTCACACACAGACGCACACGTGCATATAGAGCTCCGGCCCCTGGGCTCCAGTGCAGTGACAGACACTAGCTACTAAGAAAGTGTTTGTCACAATCAATGTGAACTGCATGGATTAGAACAACCTTTGGAGTTTGCTTATATTTACCATAATTTATGGTCAAAATTATAAACTTACAAGGATGGTAAAACATTCGGAAATCAAACCTTTTCAAGTCAAGCAATCACATGTATTTACAGTATATACAGACTTTCTACTAGAACGGGATGGGTGCCTAGATGATGTTTTTACAAATTTCCTGAATGTGGGCGTTTCTAGTCCCTGTAATTCATAAAGCAAATTTGCTGAATTGGCATTAAGACTCTAAAATAGTGTGATCAAACTCATATATATATATATATATATATATATATATATTATATATAATTATCATAAGAAGGTGTTTGCAGAAATAACATTTACAAACTGTCTATACAGTACACAGTACTAGTACATATAAAATAGATTCTAACTTTATGATCCCCTTTGTGTAAGGCAAGACTGAATCTGTCCCCAAATTTAGTCAGCCAGAGGTACAAGCAAGAAACAGTGGTCCATGGATGAATGGATATGCAAATCAGGTGCCTACATATCAAAACTCGGGAGAATCAAGTCAAGAACTTCCACTTTTTACCTGGGCCAGTTCTGGCTTACTGGATACATCAACTACATTTCATTTCTTAAAATACTAATGGCAGCAGATTTTGTTCAGAGTGGCAGCTACCCCAAACAGGTTTTGAAAAGTCCAGTACACAACCGGAGGACTGCAGCCGTACCAGGCGAATTTATATAGCACTTACAAAAGAAAAAAAAAAAGTATATTAATACTCTATTTCATGCTATTGCTAGGGAAGCAACAGCAATACAAAATATACAAGACAGATCACATATGATTGCAATGTAGACCCCAAAGATTTAGTTTGAGGGTGCTGTTATACAAGACTTTTTAAAAAAACACACAAAAGGGCGAAAGTCATTGGCGGCTGTAAACATCCCTGTTCCACTCCCCGGCCTCAGTCCGTTTCTTGGATGTTCCTTCTCCATCCCTGTCACAGTAGCGATCCTTGGATTTATGGCGGCTGCGCTGCTTGTTGCATTCGTTGTGGTCCTGCTCTCGGTCCAGGTCCCTGGCACGGTGCCGGGACTCCCGGTGTCTGTGCTCGCCGCCGCCATGGGGCTCGTCTCTGTGGTTGTGGTCACGGTGTGCGGCACAGTGGTCCGCGTGTTCGTAGTCTTCCTTGGGCTCTACGTAGGCAGAGTCTCGGCTCTCCTGGGTCTCCGAGTCAAACGTCTCCTGCCGGGGGAGGCCCCGACCTGTCCCTCGGCGATGGTTGTGGTGCTGAGCGGAGGACGAGGAGCGGTGCTGGGACTTCTTGACTGGCTCCGGGCAGGGCTGTTCTTCCGCGTGGGGAGCAGAGCGGGCGGGGCGGTCAGTCCTCTGACCACCTTGAGAACCCTGGTGGCGAAGGGAGAAAGCACAGGCATCAGGCAGCCGAGGGCAGAGCATAAGCCAGGCCGCGCGAGTCTACCCCCTCATAAGCACCCCAGATGCTGATGTGAAATCTCACCTGGCTAAATTACTGAATTCTTTTAATGATGTCCAGTGGCATTGATAAGGTTTGTAGTGTGATATATATATGTATGTGT